CAAGACGCAAACACTTTGGAGATTGTCCACCTGTCAGGGTCAAGCACTTTATCTCCACTAGTTATCGAGATTCTATATTTTCTTGCAGCACATCTGGATGGCATTACAACAGCTACATACACCGCAGATCTCGCGAAGAAGACAGAAGACCGTGGTGATTGTTGTATGTTGTCTATTGTTGAGTGGGGGCATAATGCTAGGTTGGAGTATGAGGACGATATCAGTAGACTTGATGATCAAGATCACATGGATTTTACTGGTGAGTCTACCCTCAGGGTCAATCAAACTTGCTTAACCAGTGAACACAACATCTTCATGGTTGCACCTACAGACAGAGATGCTCACAACCCCATCCTTGTTCACTTGAAACCTTTGGAGATGATCTGGAGTAAAAAGCGTGCCTAGATTCCCTATGAGATGAAACGAAGACATCATCAGAAGAGAAGGGAGATGCAAAAGGCGAGCAAGAGAAAGGGTTATGACGATGACTACTGGGGCAACTAGCATGGTACTGGTTTTGGTGGTTCCTCAGCTTCATCATCCAGAACATGGAGACCAAGATGAGTGTATACTTCTATAGATGAAGATAACACAGTATGATTTGCTCTGTACAGTTTTTCTCTGAGCTCATTTCTTTTTCACAAGAAAAGGTATATATTCTTTTGGATAGAGAAAATACCAAAGCAGAGTTTTCATTTTTACACAAGATGGCATATACTCTTTTAGCTAGAGACAATGCACTACTGTGTCTGAACTTCAATTTAATGTAGATCGATATACATTCCTGTAGATAGAGATAATATCGCATTTTTATCTCCATACACCTTTCGCGGAGCAGAGTAGCTCCGAATGGAACAAACCAAGAATATCAACTCCGAATTTTGTTGATCGTCCGCTTGAATGAGCGACTTTGGAGATCCGCTGTATCCGTTTATTTTGTGATTTGGTCAATTGTTTCTCATCTGACCTCAATTTCTGAATCTTGCAGTTCGAACGTTTGGAAGACGATTTTTCCCCACCTGCCAGGTGAGGGTTGTTAGATTTTATGTCAGTTGCTTCCTCCTCGTCCTCCTCCTCCTCCTCGTCCTCCTCCTCCTCCTCTCCTCTCTTCTCCTCTCCTCTCCTCATCTCCTCTCCTCGTCTCCTCTCCTCCTGCTCCCTGCCGGACTTCAACCACGACCATCCACGCCCAGTGTGCCCTGCCGGACCTCAACCACGACCATCCACGCCCAGTGTTCCCTGCCGGACCTCAACCGCGAGTATCCGGGCCCAGTGTTCCCTGCCGGACCTCAACCACGACCATCCACGTTCAGTGTGCCCTGCCGGACCTCAACCACGACCATCCACGCCCAGTGTTCCCTGCCGGACCTCAACCGCGAGTATCCGGGCCCAGTGTTCCCTGCCGGACCTCAACCACGACCATCCACGTTCAGTGTGCCCTGCCGGACCTCAACCACGACCATCCACGCCCAGTGTTCCCTGCCGGACCTCAACCACGACCATCCACGCCCAATGTTCCCTGCCGGACCTCATGTAGGAAGATAAAATGTCAGATAGAGTGCCAGAAGATTTGCCAGGTAGAATGCCAGAAAATATGCCAGAAGATATGCCAGATAGAAATGCCAGAAGATATGCCAGAAGATATGCCAGAAGATATGCCAGAAGATATGTCAGAATATATGCCAGAAGATATGTCAGATAGAATGCCAGAAGATATGTCAGAATATATGCCAGAAGATATGTCAGAATATATGCCAGAAGATATGTCAGATAGAAGGCCAGAAGATATGTCAGAATATATGCCAGAAGATATGCCAGATAGAATGCCAGAAGATATGTCAGATAGAGTGCCAGAAGATATGCCAGATAGAATGCCAGAAGGTTTGCCAGATAGAATGCCAGAAGATATGCCAGAAGATATGCCAGATCATATGCCAGAAGATATGCCAGATAGAATGCCAAATAGAATGTCAGAAGATATGTCAGATAGAATGCCAGAAGATGTGCCAGTAAGAACATGTATAAATGTCATGGTGGGGATCACACGAAGTAAAGTAAGTTTTTTTTTACACCGGTAGAGCATTTTGCTTAGAACGACCGTGCTTCGTGCACCATTGTCGAGAAAAATGATTAGCGAATCCGCTGCTTTCATTTCGACATGTCCTTAGGACAAGTTTGTCCCTTTCAATCCGCCTGCATCCGCTAGTTTTGTAAAGAAACTTCCGCTCATTTTTGCTGATTAGCCAACGTGTAGTATAGTACAGGCTCTAAATCTTATTCTCAATTGGGTACGACAAGGCGTAGTGCTCTACTCATTGCCTCTGAATTTGTGCCTGTGTTTTTGTTTGGGCTTGGATCCTATGTGGATATAGCATGAGTATTGAGCACATTTACATACGCTGTCAAGGCTCAAGAGAGATATAGAGTAATCCTGTGGACACCACGCCGACTGGCTCATGGCCGTGAGTAAAAGGGTGTGAAGCTGTCTTGGGAAGACGCTCTAGCTGATCTAACCTAGACGCTATAGTGCCCCTCTTCACCAAGTCCCCCCCATGTCCCCTAATCCCAAACCTAAATGGCTCGGGTTGCAGCAGTCCTTCTGAGCCCCAAGCCCCCTCCACAGTGGGGATCACCCGGAGAAAGCTTTTACCAAAGTTTTTTCTTTCCATGTGCATGTTGCTGTTCATGGAAAGCACCGAACAAGTTCACAGAACTTTAAGCAAATTTTCGTCAACAATCAGTTAGGTTTGGTTTGGACGCATGGTATGGACTAAAAATATTTGAAACGCCGCTGCAACTTTTTCATGCTTTCGTATTCACCATACTTATCTAACCTCATTATTTTATATTATTCAAGGAAACGTTCCTTATTCACAATCAGAAAAGGCATCCCTTCACAGAAACGGTGTGGAAAAATTGCCAAAATCATTGGAGGCCGCCGCGCTTGGAATCTTGGACCCGTTTAGCAAACTATGCGTGCCAGGAAGGCATGGCGCCAAGGCACGCAATATGAGGGGTCGGAAGCCGAGAGAAAGAAACATTCCTGAAACGCGCGCGTTATTCCCAAATTGTGCCAAACAGAAAGGTTCCGCGATTTTGTCCAAGCGTAAAAAGGTCCAAACGCAGATTACCCCCAGGGGCAGGATGAAGTGACGTTGAACAAAATCAATAATTGCTTAGATGGAGGATGATGGAGGATTTTCTACCATGTGAGCAGTGAAAAAATAAAAGCCAAACAACAATGTTCAGCACGGGACAAAAAACTTACTTTACTTCGTGTGATCCCCACCATGACATTTATACATGTTCTTACTGGCACATCTTCTGGCATTCTATCTGACATATCTTCTGACATTCTATTTGGCATTCTATCTGGCAAATCTTCTGGCATTCTATCTGGCATATCTTCTGGCATTCTATCTGACATACCTTCTGGCATTCTATCTGGCATTCTATCTGGCATATCTTCTTGCATATTTCTTGGGATATCTTCTGGCATTCTATATGGCATTCTATCGGCAGTTATTTCTTGAATATCTTATGGCAAATATCTGGCATATCTTCTGGCATATTTTCTGGCATTCTACCTGCCAATCTTGCTAACCCTCAGCCATTGCCCCCAAAACCCCCTTTTTTCCGCCTGCCCTCCAGGCAATACTGACATTTTATTTCCTACTTGAGGTCCGGCAGGGAAAACTTGGTGGAGTAAGCGGTTGAGGTCCGGCAGGGAACACTTGGCATGGATACTCGCGGTTGAGGTCCGGCAGGGAACACTGGGCGTGGATGGCCGTGGTTGAGGTCCGGCAGGGACCACTGGGCATGGATGGCCGTGGTTGAGGTCCGGCAGGGAACACTGGGCGTGGATGGTCGTGGTTGAGGTCCGGCAGGGCACACTGAACGTGGATGGTCGTGGTTGAGGTCCGGCAGGGAACACTGGGCCCGGATACTCGCGGTTGAGGTCCGGCAGGGAACACTGGGCGTGGATGGTCGTGGTTGAGGTCCGGCAGGGCACACTGGGCGTGGATGGTCGTGGTTGAAGTCCGGCAGGGAGCAGGAGGAGAGGAGACGAGGAGAGGAGACGAGGAGAGGAGAGGAGAAGAGAGGAGAGGAGGAGGAGGAGGACGAGGAGGAGGAGGAGGACGAGGAGGAAGCAACTGACATAAAATCTAACAACCCTCACCTGGCAGGTGGGGAAAAACATAGTTTCGTAAGCCGACAGCACGGTTTCAGGTGTCCATGGTTGTAGATTTCGTTCCAGTTCCATTTGTTTGGGGATCTGCAAAAGAGCAAGGCACTTCGCCCAAACCCAGAGATTGCAAAAGGAAAAATCAACGGAAAATTGAATGCAAGAAAGGTACACACCTCTCGGCAAACTAATGCAGGAATTCAGCAAAACCAATCCTGCATATGAGAGTTGCCGTTGATCTTCAGGTGCTTCAGGCGGTACGTTCAATGGTTCAAATGCATCGTAATGTGAACATGTTATTATGGCAAACCAGCAAGAAACAAGGGGATGAAACAAACTGAATTTCAAACCCGTGGTATTGGTGTACACTGGGGCATGCTATCGAATCGCAACCATATTAAACACTGCGGTCCGGAATTGCGATGTTTCTAGGTTTGTTCAACCCAGAACTTGAAACTGTTAGGAACATTTACTGTAAGAACTCACTTTTTGCGATGTCATATTTTTGTTTCGGGTTTGTTGCATGAACAAAACTCTTCATTGGCACACACGTGCAGTAGTCTTCAACCTGCCTGAAAAAATGCGGCAGATGGAAGTGCAGGTTTAGAAGAGATACAAACCAAGTGTGGTTCTGGAAAGCGATGGCAGTGATCAAAACGAGGACATCACGTTTGAAATTAGCCAGGTCACTCACATGGTTGTGGGATGTTGTGGGGGGGGCCAATGCTGTATGTTGTGGACAAGCACGGCCACCATTCTTTTGGCCCAGACGAGATGACAGTTCATTAGTATAGCCAGCCAGCGGGCTTTGCACATGGCTGTGCAAGTGCAGCTGCTCCCAGGAAGTTTTGTTCGCGGTCCGCATTACGCACACAAGCCCCCAGTTTCTACTAGGAGAATCTTGGGACTTTCTGAAGTCCTGTCAGGTTGTTTTGTCGGCTCTGCTGCAGTTGCAGCCCTTGGACGTCAATCGTTCACAAGTCGAGCTGCAAGGGGCAACAGACAGAAACCCAAGAAGAAAAGAATAAAAACCCACTACGGCCCCAAAAAACTGAAAAGTGGCTACTGGCAAGAGGATTTGGAGATAGATGATGACATTGATGTGTTTGAATGGTTCAATGCAGAAGAACTGCTTGATGATCCACCTGTGGCAGTGACTGACATGAAAGAGGTGGCCAAATTTACAATTTATCCAGATTCTGAGCCTCAAACATATGATGCTCCTGAGTACAGGCCGCCACCTCCCAAATTACAACTAGCCAAAGGATTGAAAATGCCACCGCTTCTCGACCAGTGCCCCGGCAGATCCTTCACAGCGGACCTGCAGAGTCAAGTAGCCGAGTTTGGAAAAGGTTTTTCAATGGAAAATGTTGATGTTGTGATCAGTTTTCAGGCCCTTTGCACGATGTTGGCTTTCGTAGATGGAACGCTGACAGAAGACATGCGAGCCAAAGGCTTGAACACTCGCCGAGGGAATGAACCGCAACGAGTTGATCTTTTTCGTGTAGGTCGATTACCAGATGCCCCAGATGCAATTTCAATAGGGACAGTTTGGAACTGGGTACCAGAGAATGCCACAGCAGGAAGTGCCAATTTCAACAAAAGATCGTATGATGTCAATTTTCAATATGTCGTCACCGGCAGGGAGACAATTGGTGGGCCGCCTTCCATTCGGGAAGTGAATGACCCAGACCATTACCGCATTCTGTGTTATTCACTGGGTGACCTCAATGTTCTGGTTCGGGCCCCACTGGCATGCACCATGCCCACAATTGATGACAGCTGCATGCCAAACCCAGGCATGGCAGTTCAATGTTCAACTGCAAACGAAAGAGATGCCGGAGATCTTTGGGGCCAAAACTTGGCATCGAAATTTGCAGAGATGAAACTTGGTGATGTGGGGATGATTGTGCGTGGTATTGTGGACAAAGGCTTCCTCATTGACGTGCAAGAGCTCACACAAGAGGACTTGAAACTCGATCGGTTTGGCAAAGATTCGCTGGAGGAGGAGGCTGAGGTTTTGACTGGACGGGTGGCAGGCCTTCTAAAGCGCATCAAAGATGTCGCCGGATGTCCTGGCTGTGCTGACCGCGTCCTCTACTTGCAATACTGCGATGGTGAGCTGCGAGTCATTTTGCCTTGGTCAGATGAAGAGCTCGCAGAGCTTGAAAACTTCCGTGATGTGACTGATAAAGAGGTCGAGGAGCTGGTGTTTGGCCCAGAGCCATGAAATAGGATGGTGCGCGGCAAAAGAAGCAGCACTTACGGTCGTGATTCCTGGTGATGAATCATGCTTGATTTTTCGAACGTGTTTGAACATGATCCCCGTGAATAGACAATAGCTGCGGTCAAGCTGTGGAAACATGGAAGCCATACTAAGCCATGGCCAGTGGCAGACTCAAATGGTAAACCGGCATAGCGGCCAGCGTGCATAGCCATACATAGCACATATATATATATATGTATACATCTGCACATTATGGTTTGAGATAACGGAAGGATTTTAGGAAGCAAACTTTCCGACATATGGAAGATGAAAAAAGCAAGAGGGCAGGAGGCGAGAGAGAGAAAGATTTTAGAAGAAAGAAGAGTAGAAGAGAAAGAGTAAGAAGAAAGAAGATGCAGATGCGAGAAAAGGTAGGAAAGTCGCGAAACACTGTGTTTTCCCAATGATTTGTGGCTCCGGAGGGTCGAAAAGTAGGCTCGCTAAAGCGGCGGGTGCGGAGCCAGCTGGCCAGATGAGAGATGAAAAATTGCACGCCGTTGTGGCGCGAAGCACATTTTGAAGTCAAAATGTACAAAACATCTCAGCTTCGGACCTTTTGGAAGTTGCGATGTCGAAAAAGTGCACGCCGTTGTGGCGCGAAGCACATTTCCAAGTCAAAATGTACAAAGCACACCAGTGTCGGACCACTTTTGGAAGTTGCGATGTCGAAAAAGTGCATGCCGTTGTGGCGCGAAGTACCTTTCCAAGTCAAAATGTACAAAACACAACATTCTCGGACCACTTTTGGAAGTTCAGATGTCGCAAAAGTGCACGCCGTTGTGGCGCGAAGCACATTTCCAAGTCAAAATGTACAAAACACACCAGTGTCGGACCACTTTTGGAAGTTGCGATGTCGAAAAAGTGCACGCCGTTGTGGCGCGAAGCACATTTCCAGGTCAAAATGTACAAAACACACCATTCTCGGACCACTTTTGGAAGTTCCGATGTGGAAAAAGTGCACGCCGTTGTGGCGCGAAGCACATTTCGAAGTCAAAATGTTAAAAACACTAGGGGGTTCGAACCACTTTTGGAGGTTCAGATGTCGCTTCGCTTCGCTTCACTACACTACATTACACTACCATTACACACAAATACACAACAATAAAACAAAAAAATACAACAACTACACACTACACAACATACAACTCCAATAAAATTAAAAAAACTTACAATAAAAAGAAAATTAACTCTCCACTTTAAAATAAAACTTACAATACATAAACTAAAAATGACAACTCCACTAACTCCATTTACATAAATTGACACCCACTACAATACAACTGTACCTTCCCACGTACACGTCACTTTGACATTACAGTACACTACCACTCAATACACACTACAACTTAACAACTACAACAACTACCACTCCACTTACACTCCCCTTACACTAATTACACTCCAACTCCCGTTAAGTACACTACATTACAAATACACGACACTACCACTCCACTACACTACATTACGCTACGCTACTTTCCACTACACTTCGCTACATGACACTAAACTACATTCCACTACACTACAACTACAACTACAACTACACTCCACTACACTAAATTACACTACACTACACTACATTACACTACACTACACTACATTACACTACACTACACTACATTCCACTACACTCCACTACACTACACTACACTACATTAAACTGAATGACACTGCACCACAGATAGACGGGTAGACAGATAGACAGACAGACAGATAGATAGATAGATAGATAGATAGACAGATAGACAGGTAGACAGCTAGACAGAAGTAGACAGATGAGAGAGAGAGATAGATAGATAGATAGATAGTTAGATAGATAGATAGAAAGATAGGTAGGTAGATAGATAGATCGATAGATACATAGGTAGATAGATAGGTAGGTAGGTGGGTAGGTAGGTAGATAGTCAGAGAAAGAGAGACAAATAGTGAGAGATATCAATCACCTTTCGCTCCAGCAGTGGCTTCGCTCTGCCATCCCTGATTCCCAACAACCAACCTCTCCTATAGGTTTCCTATTTTTGAAACTTCCGCCACCGCCTTGTGCGGTACTACTGGTATATGTTCTGATTATGCATTTCTTTGTTTGATTTGTTTTGTTTGCATGTTTGTCTGTCAATATGCCAAGTAATGCCAAGTATGTTTTGAGAGCAACACACGAAAACCAATGCAACTTTGGAGCATTTTACTTTGCTCCACTGACTTGCAGCATGTCTGCCGCAGCTTGTGGTCCAGGTCCAAGGGTTCAGGAAGTTGTGCCACGCTGTGATGAATGCAGCTGAAAAGGCTCTTTTCTCAGGTCATGCCTTCACTGCGGCTCAAACATTTGTTGCCGGAGTTAGCCGCCCTACAAAGAAGAGAGAGTTGACTTCAGACATCGGTCGCAAAGATTTCGGCTTTGCCCATGAAGAATTTGATGCCGAATCCGGATTCTACGAAGGAACTTTCAAAGTGAAACTGCGGAATGGTTGCGGCGTCCTGGTGGAGGCCAACTCGGGTGCATCATACACGGGTCAATTTCTGCACGAAAGGCGGAACGGGCATGGTCTGCAGAAATGGCCAGGTCAGAGTTCTTATGACGGCGACTGGGAGCATGGTGAAAAACATGGGAAGGGAATTTACACATCAAGTACCAGCACCTATGATGGAAAGTGGGCAGAAGGTCTGAGGCATGGAGTTGGGAAGCAGCTCTACCACAACGGTGATGAGTATTCAGGTGCTTGGTTCAAGGGTCAGTGCAGTGGCCCAGGAGTGTACTATCATGCTGACGGGTCTGAATTTCATGGTGCATGGGCCTCTGGCAAACGCCATGGCGCCGGCATGTGGTTCGGACCAAAGAATCAGAAGGAACAACACCTTTACAAATATGGGGTCTTGGTTGAGAGGAAAATCCTTGAACCAGGTTCCAAGCCACCGCGTGGGCAGCGAGCCATACAACCGATGCATTCAGACCGAGAGGTGGCAACTCAGAAGCAGATAAATATGTTGAAAGAGACAGTGTTTGACTCCGTACCCTACCTTGGGCACCTGTCGGTGAAGGACTCTACAATAATGGATTTGTCAGCTCCATCCATCAGACGTCAACAAGCTGCGGCAAACGTGGCAGAGATGAAAATTGGCCTGTGGCCATTTGACAAAAACGCCACAGAGCCGCTTGCAGAGGTACTTTCGGATGAAATAGAACCCCCTGATGAAAGTTCAATGTAGGCTTTTCACACAGTTTCACATGGGTAGAATCGCTGCCCCAACCGCGCCAATGGGCGCTGTCCATAGTATTAATTTGAACAAATATGCCTCAAAATGTTGTTGGTGCACTTCATTTGTCACTTTGCAGTCGTTTCCAACAGTTTCCTCATTCTTGTGAATTTCGATTCAAGTATTGAAGGCTTTGCTCGTTTAATTCTCATGTTCATCTCTGCTGACTTTCGGATCAGTTCATAGGGATTTGGGCCAATGAGCTGGCTCGTCTTCTGAGACTGAGCAGCTCAAAAGGCTTCAATGAAGCTCGGCATGGTGTCACGATGAATAGTGACGGCCGGTGACGGCCATATTGAGCCGGAAGTCGGAAATGACAACGTGTCAAGAGTTGTGGGTTGGATACATAGGACATAGGACATGTTTGTGCTTGCATTTGTCGCATTCTTTCAGCAAACGCGATGAAAAGGGTGTAAGAGAAACAGCAGTGAGAGTTTGAACACATGTGACACTGCAAGGAAGTGTGTGACATGGAAAGTCACCAGATGCTTGGTATTCATCCAGGTGTGTCACTTGGGCGCTGGGTGCTGACTGTGGTATCAAGGAATACGCTAAGACTCGTTCAGAAACTTTGTGGCTGTTGTGTCTTGACGTGTCCTGTTTTTTGTGTGTCCTCTTTTGATCTCGGTGCTTGTCTGAAGGCCGCTGCAGCGTGGAAGCTTCGCCATGATGGCACTGACGCTGCCAATGAAATGGCAGGATGGGGCCTTGAAGTACTGTGCATTTGACATGGCAAACAGAGGTTTATGCAGCGCATTGGCTGTTGGCAAGTTAGACTGCCTTAGCTGCCTGAACCATTGAGGCATTCAAGGTAAAGCTCCTTGGATGCAAGATGATGCAAGCTTATCAAAGCTCCATGAGGGTCTTTGATTGACAGAGGTTGTTTTCTGATCAGATCACTGTCAGAGCACGTCTTGGCATCAACCCGACAAGGCATGCTATGAATATAGATGCAGACCATGCCTCAGAATCCTGCGACATCACCGTGACAAAAATGCGATGTGTATTCGGTCTCGCTGAGCCGCATGCAGCAGCTACCCAGTAGATCTCAGTAGCAGCTGACCAGATCACAGACCTTTGCACGAAAGAACATGGGGCAAATTCGCAGAAATTTCTTACACAATAACATGGCAAGCCGTAGGTGACGGATGGGCTCCAAAGAAGGATCATCATAGGCGGCAAGGCTTTAGTGATGCAGCTTGCTGTGACAAGTCCGGACCTTACTACCATTGGTGGAGCGCGGTAGGGATGCAGCATGTAGCAGCTACTAGTATAGTAGATGCTAAGACATGCCACGATAGATGATGGTAGATGTAGGTCACATCCAAGCTCAATCATGTTCTCAGCATGCCAATGTTGGGCAAACTTGTTGAGAAGCTTCCCTGTGGCCAATGCTTCGTGTGGGCTGAACCTTCAAGGACCTGTGCACTTTGGACCTGCGGAAGTGGCTTCGCATCGAATGAGGCGTACAGCACCAATGTATCTTGGCAAAGCCTTTGGAGCCCTACACAGAACCATCCAAATCCAAAACATTCAAAAACCAAGCAGGAGTCAAGAGATGCCAAGAGCGTCAGGAGTCCGTTTCTAGGCATTTTCTCTCTTCGAGCTTGGGAACTGCAAACTGCTAAGTGGACTGAATGGCATCAACTGCTGAGGTATTTCAAAGCAATGAGATGTGCTGCGACAAGACTTGTGCCCTGGTCAAGTGCCAAACAGGCTTTAAGAACAAAGGTGAGAAAGCCCTCGCATTGACCCATGATGAATGCTGCGACACTTGGCAGACAGAATGGGGATTCAGAGAACACCGACAAGGCAACGGTGACGCCATGATGAAGCCATGGTGAAGCCTTGTCATGCCTTGACCATCCTTGCCATCCTTGACCAAGGATATGACCTGTGCAGCTTTTACTTGTAGTGGAAACTGGAGTCAGCTTGCCAGTGCCTCGTCCAGGCTGGGGCCATGCCCACAATGACGTCAAAACATGTGCAACATAACGCCATCATCCACCATCCCAATACCAACAGAGAAATGCGATTTGCGTTGATATCATGGATCTTTGTTGTGCCACACTCATGGCCCAGAATTGCGAAGGGTGGGAAGTGACTTGTCTACGTGCTGCCAGCCGAACTGCGCCATGTTCGACTGCAAAGCAGGCTTTCCTGTCCCATAATTTCGGAAGTTCGTGCCAATGCAAATGCACACATGTAAATCATGCAACATTATGAATTACATTATGGGTTATATCATGCAAGTATGCATTCATTTGAATACATCTGCGAGTTGGGCTGGACTCCAATCCTGCTGCTCGTGACCGCCCTGGCAGCAACAAAGAGGCGTGTTGTTTGAAGGCCAGTGACCTGGGACTTTCTGCTAGATGGTGTGCCACATGTGACAATACTTTTGAACAAGAGGGTCTTTAGAAGCTCTGCTGTTGTTCTCGTGTCAAGGAGACCTGTATTTTGTCCAATGCGTTCCCCTCAAACCATTTCCTGTAGACGAGGCCGCGCCAGCTGTTCCTGATCCTGTTGCTCCAGTGACTCCTGCACCTACCACTCCTGCTCCGGTTGTCCCCACCTGTTCTACTTGGAAATGCCCTTCCGACTCTGTGGTGCCCAAGAGCAAGCTCGAGCTGCCGGATCCAGATGATGCCACATGCTGTGACAAAAAGTTGTGCAGAGATTTCGACTGCCACTTTTCTGCAAGTCAAGCAGTTGTCACACACACAGACACACACACAATCACACACAGATATATATATATATAATATATATAATATACATATATATACATCATACTTGTATGTATATAAATCGCGTATCTATGTACATTATACATAATGCATCATAATGCATATGTTTAGCATTATTTGGGGAACAATCGGATTATCTTGGCTGTGTTCATCAGAGGTGCAGATAGGATCAGATAGGTGGATGGGTGCATCACTGCATCACCTTGTAAGCCTTAGAGCCTTAGAATGCACCAGACCAACATCTTTGCACCAAGGTATACCTGGCTGGAGACGCAATACCGGTGCGAATGATTCGCCAGGAGATTCCAAAGAAGAGTGCTGCACTGCAACTTGTCAAGCCTACCACTGTGACTTAAAAGAAGGGTGGACCAGCAACCCAGACCGTTCTCATTTCCTGGTGAGTGATGCTGAGACTTGCTGCTTGCAAACTTGTAGCCGGCACAAGTGCAGCGAGAATTGGGTGCCGAAGGCAAAGCAGGATAAAGCAGGTGAAACAGACCTGGAATGTTGCGACAAGACTTGCCAGTTGCATTTCTGCGACGAGTCAGCTGGTTGGAAGACCAACGTCCGAGCAGCATCTGTGGCAGCGAATGATGATATCAGTTGCTGCACCTCAACTTGCAAGCGTCATTCCTGTGGCCCCGGGTGGGTCCTCGACCAGGCCAAGCTTGACGAGGCGGGCGGCTGAGACTGTCATGAAAAATATGAAAAAGCACATGTGTGCAGCAGATGTGCAGCAGAGTGCAGAAAGATGCAGAAACATGCAGAAACTGTTTCTGGATTTGGACTTGCGTAGCTGTCCTAAGATCAACCACACAGAGTCTGGCATTCCGGACATATAAGCAGAATGCAATCTAATGTTTACCAATATGTATCATTACATTGTTTAACTTCTTTTCTTATTTGTTCTTCAGTCTCTTTGTCTATCTATTAATAAATTACCATCTATTTTCTTTGTCTCCATCCATCTTGCGGTTAATTATGTTTAATTACTGAGTCAGTGCTGCCTCTGATGGTTCGTTTGTCAAATTTGTCTACATGTGTGCTTGCTTACCCTGGCTTACCCCTGTCAAGAAGGTTTTGTCAGTGCTACCAATCCCATCGGTATGTTTGGTGAATCTATGAGAACCGATTAGGCGACTGTGATGTGCGATTTGGGATGGCTGTCCCCAGATAAATTGCCATGTGCTTTTACAGACTTTTTGATGTCCTTTCACCAACTTCTACTAGACCTGATTTGCTGAGGAGAAAGATACAGATGAAGAGTGCTGCAAACCAACGTGCAGTCAGCATAAGTGTGATGCCTCTGCTGGCTGGGCGGAGGCTTGGGTAGAAGTGAAATGATGCTGCAGCTGTGTTGCTGCTATGGTGATTGGTTGTGTTTGGAGTGGCTTGACTTGCAGCTGCAACCGGTATAGCCGATATATAGCTTCAATTGACTTCCGATGTGGCCTGTTCAAGCTGCTTGAATCTCATGTGCGTCAGTTGCTAGCCAGGGCCACTTCATGGGTAAACACCGGGTGCACAACCCCGATGCAGGATCCAGCGGCTTCCAACAGAGTGGGCAGCAGCAACTCTGTTTGCTGCCTCCCTACTTGCAGCCAACGCAAATGTGGAGAAGGCTTGAGTTGGTACATGCTTTAAACATCTCGCATTCATCTTTAAACCCCACTAGTATGTGGGAAAAGCATTTCGTTGCATGGATGTATATGGATGTCTATTGTTTGCTCCTGTCCACTTTGGGGTCAAGATATGTCAAGATTGCAGACTCAATCCTTTTTTCAGCGCGTAGGGTGTGCGAAGCGTGTCCTTGGCCAGGTTGGGTTCCGAACAAGCTCAAGGCAAATGATGCTGGAGCATCAGATGAGGAATGCTGCCTTAAGACGTGCAAACTACATACTTGCAACGCCACCTGGATAAGTTTTGATAAGTTGATATAAGATGACGTAAGTGGATTCAGAAGTTGTTGGTGTGGATGAATCAAATTGCATCCCGTAGCACCTGTGAAAGCAAAGGTACAGTAGAGGAAGGCGGCGGTGATTCAGCTGGGTTGTGACATTTGACCAAGGCTGCGACCCAATTGATCAAGAAGCCAAACATTGATGAAGTGCCTGGAGCTACAGATGAAGAATGCTGCGAAAGCGAAAGCTGTAAGAAGTGGCCTGATGTATTTCAAGAAGCCAAAGCTGGATGCAATCAGACCAGTATTCATGATGATTGCCCGGCACTCAAGGGTCAATTTTCGTTGCAGTATATGACAGTATATGTTTCATTTTTTCTATTTGACAGGGAAGTGGCAAGTAAGGAATGACTGCTGGCATCTGCTGGCACAGCCGCCTTGAGGTAACAACATGTTCGAAAAGTCCACTGAAGATGGCCTCAGCATTTTTAAGCGATGTGGCTATTTGCTTGTGTCAGGCCAAGTTTACAGGTGTGGCTTGGTTGGTAGCCCTGTCCAGTGTAGCCCAGCTTAGGCTAGAGATCTAATTCAATCCTAGCTACCGTCACTGCAAACTTCTTTAGAGACGTTCGGACCCTGTGCAATGGGGCGATCAAACCTCCGAGCCTGGATTGTTGGGGATTGTCCTTGGCGAAGAGCGCTTCCCGTCAAGCCGCAGCACAAGCTTGCTGTCCAATCTGTTGACATGTCCACTGTGTGCCGTTTCCGCTTGAATTCATATACATACCTAGCGGACCTAGCATTGCATTTCTTCTGACAGTCTTCACGTCAGCATGGTTGACTCTGTCTTGCATCAACTGTTTTGACGGCTCGAAGTGCTCAGAAATGCAGAGGGAGAGATCTTTAGGGGAAAATTCAAGGGCTACATAGGGCTACTGCATCGCCGTGTGCGCCTCAGAACCTGAAAATTGAAGTCCTGAGTAGTGCTTATTACATCTTATATACTATAGATTTGCAGTTGAGATCAGATTGTCCAAGTTGGGGTTCTTGCACGGTGCAGGCCCAGGTGGTTTTGGCTGCCATGCATACACACATGCATAGGCGCATGCAGACCAAATACGCATACATATATAGACATATGCATACAGACATAAGTATAGCCTTTGATTCAAGGATCTTAGTCTTGGGGTGGGTGGTGCTGCTGTGGATATTGGCCTATGGGGTCTCAGGTTCAGGGTGTGTGAGTGGCTGCTTTCAAGTTCCTGATCCAACTTGTATCATTCCCTACTTTTTGAATCTTTTTGATACCTTTTGTATTTTTGTGCGTTGAGGAGCCATGGGGCAGAGCCTGCCAAAGGCAGTCACCTCCATAGTTTTGGAAGAAGATGTTATGGCCTCAGAAATAACACTGGCCAGAGCTGCAGAAGTACAGATATATAAAGACATCATGAGACACCAAAAGGCCGTTCCCAAGTAAAACTGTAAAACATAGTAAAGCGTAATCAACCTTGGAGAAGAACGCTCGCTCGATTCCGAGCCAATTCTGAGGCTGGACCTTTGTTCCGCCTTGGCTCTGCAGAGATGAATGGGCATCGGCCCGCAATGGAGGACCAGAACTGCTGCGATTTGCTTTGAAGATTTTGAAGTACTGTGGCAAAAAGCATACAGGGGTGTATCATAGCGGCATACTGGTGCACACATAGATTAACATGGATTCATACATCCGTGTATTCAGCACAGAGTGCACAGAGCAGCTTAATGCAGATTGTATTTAATTACTTTTAATTCTCCTGGCCTTGATACAATTAATGCACAATTCCTTGTTGATGCAGCAGCTTCAGGATGCACATGTGGCACTGATGCCTGGCGCTTATAAAGCTCCACTGTGGAGGTATCGCTTGCAGCCTGCAGCAGACATCAGCAGACATCAGCAGACATCAGCAGACATCAGCAGACATCAGCAGACACACTTTGTTGGGTTGATTGGTTGATTGGTTGATTGGTTGGTTGGTTGAGAACAGCTGAGGCGCGACACATGGGGTGCCTTGTTCGCGCTATATACTCTTGCGATATCTTATGATGGTATATGATGCTTGCGTGTTTGCAAAACGCGGAGTCGCTGCTTGCAAGCCTCATTCCGTACACAGGTTTTTTTGGTGTCTTTGATGGTCATGGTGGCCAGCAATGCTCCACATTCGTGGCAAGAAGATTGACGGAGGCCCTGCACTCATAAGCTCGATAAGCTGCATAGCACTCAAGGCTCTGATTTGCCCGTTCTGTTCGGCTGGGGAGACCCTGCAGGAACTATCAAAGATGGATCTCCCCGACAATGATGCGGTCAAGTCACTGATGCTGAGAGCTCTACTTACTGAGATCGTGTGATCTCTTTGGCCTTTCACAGCCTTTCACAGCCTTTCACATTGAAAGACAAGAAATCAGTAGCTTTGGTAGCTCATTGGTAGCCCATGCATGGCCCTCGGGCTGAACAAATGCTTTGTCAGCTGAGGAATAGACACAGAGTTCCTTGATACCAAGCAGGCGTTCGGCGTGCAGCCTGCATCTATGCCACTGTATGCATACAATTGCATATATATATATAATGATATTATCCAACATCATTTACTGCATATGTTTCACGAGTGTATGTGTATATATATATGTATCATAATAACCATTGTACGTGATAATGATATTCGGACTTTCCTAAAGAGACTTTTCTGATACTCACAGATCCTCACGGCTCAATACAATTCATAAAGTTCTCCCATTTCGCTGTACCTGTGTGATTCTTTGTTGTGCTGTTTGTCGTGCACCTTGCCCGTGCAGCCAAGCGGAAGCACCGGCACTTTTGCCTTAGCAATACCTTCCACAGATGGCAAGACTGTTGAGCTGAGGGTGGCGTGCTCAGATCTCACGCTTTGAGAATTTGAGAATGCTGTCAGCATCAGAATGTGAAGTCTACATGTACTATACTGCAACATCTAATTTATATAATACAGTACAAACAAAATATTCAATAAATACATATAACACATATAACCGAACATATATCAACAGGTTACTTTTCCAGATTTTTCCAGGTGTTCCCAGGTCCCACCGACTTTCCTACAAGTAGTGGAGTGGAGAGTATGCAAAAAGGATGCCAGTTTCAGATCTTTTGTTTCATTTTGGTTGGTGCTGGTCCAAAGCTGGTGCAGCCTGGCTTAGAAGGTTCTACCTTTGCCTCGCATTGCCTCCCGTGTCTTAAAGGCGAACATGGATCCAGTGCTCGTCACTGGAGCCTCTGGGCGGCTGGGTAGCCAGATAGTTCGAAAACTGGTGGATGCAGGCCGCACAGTCGTCGCAACTGATCGAGTTGACCCACAGGCATCAATTTGGGGGCCATCATCAAGCAGCGTTGAGTTTGTGAAGGCAGATCTATGCGATTCAGATGCTATGTACAAACTGGCGGCAAAGGCAAAGAGCGTGATTCATGTTGGGGCCATTCCAGGCCCTTCACAGCATCCACCTCCAAGAGTTCCACCAGAGCTTGCCAGAAATTCGCCTATTGGCTTGGAGTCTGTTAAGGGCATTGAGTTGATGAATCAAAATCTCACAGGGACGGCTATACTTTTTGAAGCTGCAGCTTCCAATGGCCACAGTCGGGTGGTATTTTCTTCCTCATTGTTTGCCATGGGCTACTCTCATGACCCAAGTGCCTTTAGGCCGAGATACCTGCCATTGGATGAAGAGCATGGAGCCTATCCACTGGAACACTACGGGTTAAGCAAAGTGTTTGGTGAAGAGTTTGCAGCTATGTTGACGCGAGCTCCTGGTGATGCCTCTTTGGATCCTCCATCGAAGCGACCTCGTTCTGAAGCTTTGTCATTTGTATCATTGCGATTTTCAAACATCATCAAGGAAGAGAAATGGAACGAGTTGCCTCTTTCTTGGAAGTCGAGGCCTCTAAAAGTCACGCCATTGATGTGGGCCTATTGCCACGAGCACGATGTTGTTGATGCACACCTCAAGGCCTTGATGCTACCAGCAGAGGCGTTGGCCTCCAGGCCAGTGGCAGCCAGCCGAATTGGAAGACTGACGAATACCAACATATACTAACCAATACTAACCACAAAAGATTACTGCATAGTACTACTATCGGTACTACTTGTATCAGATCTGATAACGACAAAGGCCAAGAATGTCTGAAAGAATATCAATATATTCTGTAGGCTTGGGGATGGTGAGAGTTTGGGTACAAGTTGGGTACATGACCTCAGGTTGATAGACAGACTTGGTAGCAAGACCTGAGAATTGTTCAGCATTCCTGCACAGAGATTCGCAGAATGCTTCCGAGTGCTATGGATGATAGAATGACAGTGTCACCGGCTCATCATGCTTCGTTTGTTTGGCGTCCTTTGCCTTCTATCCTCCAGATTCCAGATACTGTATGCAACGAGTCCAGTAAGTGCGGCGTATTGGCATGTCATGTCGTTGATTCCGGTATGGTATGATCCCGTGTGTGTATATAGTTCTAAATATATATATAATGAATAATGTGTGTGTAGGATTTAAGTCTTACTACTTTCAGATGCCTTCAGCATCATGATCCCTTCGACTGCCCAGGTGCGAATCTTTCATTATCGTCGCAGACGATACACGATATGACTTGCCGACTGCAACTGAGCTGAGACCAGCATGAACGAGCCATAACGAGCCATTGTTCACTTTCAGTACAATCAGAACTGGATGAACTATGATGAACTGGTATCTAGCATAGGGAAAGCAAAGAAAACTGCAAATATATATATATTATATACTATCAAATGCTAGCTTGATGATGAGTGGTACAGATTTTGAAGCAGGCAAATTTAAGTCTTTGTTGGGGCCTATTCGTGAGGCTCAAATGGTTTTCGAGCACTTTGGCGATAGGAGGCCTTTCTCATCAAAGCTGGACGGCTTCGCTTCACTTGTGAGCAACAAGAAAGCCAAGCGAGTGCTGGGAATGTCATTCCGCTCCTTTCGCACGCCATGCGCATCTCAGCCTTTGTCCCAGGATGGCAGTACTTCTCAGGCATCCGTGTTCCACGCGCCTGCTGACTTTATTCTGAAATCGGGCATCCCTGGAGGTGGATTGAAGTTGGTGTACCAGATGTACGGAGCATTGAACACGGAGAAGACAAATTGCATACTGCATCCCACTTCTTTTGATGCCACCCACCCAGAACTTGAGTTCAATGTCGGACCTGGAAAGACCTTAGATACCAACCGCTATTGTGTTTTGATTGTGAATCTTTTGGGGAACGGCCTGTCTACGTCTCCATCTGGAAATGCCGATCGGAGCAATGTCCAGGAATACCCGGCATGCGGCACAAGTGTTTGCGACAATGTCCGGCTTCAGGCTGTGTTGCTGGACTCCCTCGGAATACAAGAGCTTGCGTGCATCTACGGGTACTCAATGGGAGCGATGCAAGCTTTGCATTGGGCAGCAATGTACCCTAACCGGGTGAAGCGAGTGGCCGCCGTTTGTGGGTCAGCCAAGCCCAGTGACTTTAACATTGTCTTTCTTGACAGTCTTGAGGCTGCGCTGCTTGCAGACAAGGATTGCGATGTTTCAACAGGATGGAAGTTACTCGGCCCCTGTCAGCAGGGTTTGAAGGCATTTGCCCGAATTTACGCTGGTTGGGGTGTTCCCCGGCAGTTCTACCAGAAGGAGATTTGGCGAAAGTCCTCCAGGGATGGCACAGCTTTTAGCAGTCGTGAGGACTTCGTGGCTCGATCTTACGACAATGGCTTCGTGAATTCCAATCCTTTGAATCTCTTGGCCCAGGTCAGGACGTGGAGGCCAGCGACATACCGTAGGTATCCGTAGGTAGTGCAAGAGTTTGCTACCATGCAACAGCTGACTGCCACTGCAACCATTCTTCATCCAGCTATTCACAGATATGTTATTGATTGTTATTGGATATTACCATATATTATATGACTTGCAAAAACGAGACATTGAGGTTTGTAGATGTTTGTGGCCTACGAATGTCTATGACTCTATGATATCTTGAAATACCTGCGGACCAACTAGCTTTCTAAGCTTTGCTTTCCTTTCTTGCCTTTTGGTTTGGAGATGGTCTCAGATTTTCCTGGCATTTTCTTGGTCTGCGTGTTTGCCTTGGGGTTCTTTCCTGAGCTGTTCATGCCATTGAATTGTCCACGACAAACATGTACCACGCCGGTCAGGAAATTTGGGTTTCGGGATCAATATGAGATGATCATCCCTATTCCTTCAACACAAGTCTTAGGATAGTCTTAAGGGTTACAGCCTACAGCACTTGAGCTTGCCTGCAAGATGTCCGGGATACCAATTCAGCACGCAAAGCCCTGACATGCCTGAAATGCAAATCTTGAGTAGCGATTTGTGGTGATAGTGTTCGCGTAAAGAGATGTAAAGAGAAGAAAGGCAATCTCAAAGTGATGTTGCATTGTGGCCGCAGTCAGGGTAAATTGCACAAAAAAAAGGAAACACAACGCTGCCAATGCTGCTATTTTTGGCGCTTCTTTTGCTATAGATCCTTTGCGCGTATTATATTCCGGCATGCTCGTTTATTCTTCACGGGGATATGGTTTCAATGCATGAAAACATTCTTACAAACTTGAATCGTGTAGGTTTGGCAGCACTTTTTCTGGAAAACAATGCAGAGCTATGCAGAAAATTGGCTAGACTTCCCCAGGGGTTGAAATTCTCATGGGAGGATATGAGAGGCTGATCCTGATCTATGGGATGATCTTGGTAGGGGTTGGATTTTGAGCCGTGGGCTGTGTGCTAGGCAGGGCGATATTTCTACAGCGTACGGGATGCCTAGCAGCTCGACCATGGCTTCTGTTCTGGGACGGATTTCAGCGAGGCGGGGAACGAAGATATAGACCCATACCCAATTCATACAATTCATATACAGATGATATAGACCATATTAAACTTTTATGTAGACTGCGGTTTTACCATTTCGACTTTTTGGTTCTGAAATGTGATGATATGGTCATATGAGCCACCACAAAAAAGCTGCGGCAATAGGACACATGTAAGGGACCGGCATTGGTTGTCAGAAATTGTGGAAACATGAGGTAAGCGATGGGACCTTCCCAAAATTTGATACTCTGTTTGCAGGTTATGTCGGTTATGTCATACCTGTTCACATTCAAGCGATACTCCCCAATTTTGCCATACATCATTTTTGTGCAGATGTGTGCAAAGCGATGGAACCTGCCCAAATTTGTTGATGTCCCTTTCGTGAACTTTGAGTTTTGGAGATTGTTCATCTCAGTTTATGTACGATGTTCTTTGTGATTTGATATTCCTGATATCGTTCGCCATTAGTTCAGGGTCTACCTGATGCCGTGCACTACAGACTCTTACTTCAGCGCCGCTGATATTGATCCTTGCCGGAGGGTTGGTGCAGGGTTCTTTGCATGACATTGACATGTGCCACGAATTGTTTGGGCCATTTGCCAGCAGTTGGGTAGCGATGCAGGGTGCGTATAGGGAGGAAACCCAGATGGAAGTAAATCGCTTTGACAGAAGTGATGGGAAAATCTAGCACAGTGCAGCCACTTCTTGATTTTCTAAATCCGTAAAGTCTAAGGTCCACCTCCAAAACAAGCGCGTTATGAGATGTTATTATGGGCAGGAATCGTGCATATTAAATGCTGTAAAGGCTCAGTATGCGCGCAGCAGCGCTGAGGAAAATGAAGGACAGCTGATCCCAAATTGTCGCTTCTTGCCCATTGAGTCTGACTGGGGGCATCGTGCGGGCGATCCACATCGCCCTGGTCAAGAGGCGCTTCGTCCAAAGGCTGCTTCAAACGCATGTCCAAGTCCCACAAAGTCCACCACGAGTCATCCGCATAGCCAGAGAGTGATGTTAGCGATAATGACGACAGCCCCGACAACGACAGCGACGACACAATAATGCAATATCATCATTAATACCCTGAATTATTACGCATCATATAGATCATCATAGTGCAATTACAGTGCATATATGCATACATATGCGGGAATTGCAGATTTAATTGATTGCATGTAGTCTGTAGGGAAGGCCTCTAGCTTCCATGGAATGGTATGGTTGGTCAATCAGAATGGAACTGAGGCAGACGCAGATTTCATTGGGCGCCACGTTAAAGAGCTGCTAGCTGAAGAAGTGAAGTGACTGAAAAGCGGTCACCACAGGCAACTGTGCGGTGTTTATTCGCAGCGGCTCGCAGTGCGTGAGCAGACACATGCAGAAAGAGCCGGTCGGCGCACTTGCTGTTATGAAGTTATACAACGTTATGATTATGACGGTATGATCAGATGATCAGTATGATCATCGATGAACTTCCACATTCATGCTTTGTCATAGTTGGTGATTGCTGGAGTCCAGGTCGGCAATATCGGCGACAGCCGTGTTCTCCTCGGCCGAGCAGATGGGACCATGGTGGAAGGCAGACTGGGTGCGCAGGTGTGTTAGTAAGTAGCCCGAGAGAGAGTTGAAAAGAGCGTCTTTGAAGGGGCATATGATTTTTAAACATTTTAAATTTCAATGTCTTTCTCCAAGGGAATGCCATACCTGTCAGTTTTGGCCCTGACAATCAACAAAGAAATCACCAGAGACATGCAAACTAATTGATTCTATAATATTATGTATGTAATATTATGCATATATTAATTATATATTATGTATGTAATATGATGTAAGCATTATGTACATATATAATTATATGTAGATATTATGTATATATTATGTATATATTATGTATATATTCTGTATATATTATGTATATATTATGTGTATATTATGTATATATTATGTATATATTATGTATATATTATGTATATATTATGTAAATATTATTTAATTATGTTTCTATTATTTTTATCTTGTGTCTATATTATGTAGTATATATAATGTATATTATGTGTATATATATATATATTATGTATATAGTTAAGGTAAAGAAGACTTGAAAGAAATGGATGTGTACCATTCTTTTATACTGTATGTTTAATTGCGGGTCAACACATCCCATTTGTATCTTAATTTGGCTCAAGATGGTAAAACAAGGCCGCTGCCATTGCCCTTCCGGTGGATCGCAGTTAACCTGTTTCTTTTGTGGTTTTGGGGTAATCATTCACAGTTCAAATGGTTATCAGCTGTAGTTTGCTTTTGTTTGACCCCGAAAATCTCATTACTGAAGGTCAGAGGACGCCTATAAGTCCTCGTGTCCATGGTGAGGGCGCATTGCCTCCAAGGCACGTTGAATCTTGTGACGGCAGTGCAGTATTCTCGATTTCCAAGAGAACAGTCAGATTGCCCTTCAAGTGCGTAAACCTCGACAACCTCAGGTGTTGTGCTGGGAATACAGCACGTGGTCCGTGTCGGAAGATTGGGTGATTGATCGTTTTGAGAGGTTCATCCGTTATCACCACTCACAGCAGTAGAAGGACAATCTTGGTCCGTTCAGCGTTTTCACTTTGCATTTGAGTTTCAATTCGTCTCAGCCTTTGGGCGTTTGGCTGCTGCGGCGCCACCCCAACAGCATCGCACTTTTGGATTTGCATCTTTTGAGGCTAACATCCGTTGAAGTTTCATTTGATTCCCATTTCCGGTCTTTCGTTATTGTGGTTTGATTTGCCTTCAGCCGATTGCCCAAAGCCGAGTTTCATCACTATCAGTTGGTTGGCACTGCAGTGTGAAGTCTTTCAAGCTTCACTGCGCTGATTTGAAAATGAATTTCATCAGGAAGGGTGATCTCCAAAGTTGTGAATTTCACCGCAACCGATCAATTTTTCAAGTGTAAGACCATATCAGTATCAGTGTTTCACAGCTGAGTCAGTTTCACAGCTAACTTAGTTTCACTGCCATGGTTTGCATTTGGAATTCAAGCATCCGAGTTTGATTTGTGCTTGAACCTTTCGCCCCTGCTGTTTGGCTGCGTCAGCGCCGTGGCAGGTAGCATCGAGACTCTTTGAGACTCGCGGTGGTAGGTTCAGATGTCAAGCTCAGATCCCACATCGAATTTCGATAGTTTGAACGTTAGCAGTGAGCCCATTGATATTCCAGCTGCTGTTGGGGAAGCGTCATCTCAAAGGTCCAACCGAAGTGCGTCGTCAACACCTCGGCGTGCCCGTTCCAAAAGTTTGCAAGGGCAGGGGCAAGGAAGACACGACATGTCACAGGTTATCAAGAGCCAAAGGTTCATGACTCTGGTAGGCACTCTGCTGTTGTTTCAACTGGTCGTGGGCTTGGTTCAGACTCCCAACCATCGCAGTTGCCTTCGGATTTTCCTTCCAGTGGACCCCCAGACTTCTATTCACAACACCTTCGAATATCATAATCAGCGAGCCCAGCAAGTCAATGTTGGAGTAGATCCCATGGTTTTCTCAACTGTGGTGTCTGAAGCTCGACTGGTCATTCAAGAATCTGAAGAAAAGTCCAAGGTTTGGAGCAACTAGCCCAAGAAGTTTACAAGCAAGCCTGCATTCGCATTCAAGAGCTTGTGAGTGTTGCCGAAAGCCTGTATCAAACCAACTGTTCCAAGACCTCTGAGATTGAAAAGCTTCACATGGAAGTACAGTTAACCCGAGACCAACTTGAAGTTCCGATCAACCGCAATCAAGTCATGGTGTCTCAGATTACCCTGTTTGAGTCCCAGATGTCCAATATCCAATTTTTGTTTGGTCATAAGGATGCTGAGATTACACGCCTGATGTCCGAAGTTTCCCGTCTCCAATCGAGTGTGCCTGCACCGGTAGATGTCGCATCAGGGAATCTTAGCGGGGCTGTTGAAGATCGTGTTGTCGAAGTTCCAAAGAACGGATTCAATGATGGCAGCCATTCAGTGTTTGTCAGACAGAATGGGATACTATGAGCACAATGGCACGGATCCTAATTCAAGAAACCCCGACGGCAACAATCGTGCTCCACAGCCTCCAGGTCTTCGGATTCCAGTTGGCCCTCCTGCACCACCTCCTGAGGACGGTGACTGGCCAGAGGATGAGGGGGGTGACGAGGAGGAACTTGTTGTTGAAGAGAAAACTGAAAGGGATATCGTTGACAGTCGTGCCCTTCAAAGTGCAAAGCTGGAGCCATTGCCCAATAACGCAGCCGACTTTAGAATTTGGTAAAACGCCTTGATCTTGATGTTGGGCCGTCTTGACATCAGTGGGATTGACTATCTCACTTCATGGATTGCCGTTGCCTTCAAGGTAGACTCAGCTCAGGAATGTTCCAACTCGTCAGGTCTTGTCCCAAGATTGGACCGTTGGCTTGCGTCGGAACTCATCAAAGGCTTGAAAGGTGTTCCGGAGTTGCAATTCAAAGCTCAAGGTTATGTTGAGGGCTGCGCACGTCAAGGGGTTGCACATCGTGGCAGGGCAGTGATTCAGATGATTTCTAGGCACTTTGACCTCGACAGAGTCCGAGGGTCGCTGATTATGTCCCAGTCGGTGTTTTTGGTTGAGCTCAACGGGTAACCAGTGTCCGCTTTGCAAGATTTCTCTTCCAACGTCATGAGGGTCGTTAACCATATCCCATCTGAACAGTGGCCAAATCAGAGAATGCTTGGTGAACTTCTTTTCCACAAGCTCGGACCGTCGTTTGGAAACGGTGACTGATGAGATCAAGCGATCCCCGGAAAATTCAGTCATGAGGGAGTTTGATTATCTTTGGGGGAAGTTGCAGGAGTTTTTGGTTGAGGAGCGTGAAGATGTGAATCCTCGATCCATTGAGCAATCCCTCCGCAGTCCAAAGAAAGGAGAGAACTAAGGCAAAGACCCCAGCAGGCCCTGCAATGGCCTCTCCTGCCACGCCTTCTGTAGCTGCCGCAGTTAGCTCTCCAAAGCCGAAAGACGCCCCCAAAGGGCAACCCAAGAATGCAAAGGGGAAGTCACAGGGAAAGCCCGGAAAGCCGATGTTGGTTGAGGAAAAGGCAAAGACTCCATGCATATTCCATCAAATGCTTGTGTTCATGGAGGTACATGCCAATATAGTCATGTGAAAGCCCTTCCTGCAAAGCCCAAAAATTCAAAAGCCGATTCAAGAGCCAAGCCAAAGCCTGCGACACCGAAAGTCGCAGCAGCGGTCGCTATTACTGCGGCGTTGAGCTCTATGGTCACTGAGTGGGCCGCTGACACTGGCGCAGGTCGACATTTGGTGTCGTACGAAGCTCTGCAGGAACAGGGGTATCACAGTTCCCTCTTTTCCGAGTTTGCCAATGACTCCGGTGAGAAATTGTTTTTTTCATTTTTTTCAACAGGCGGTGGTTTCAAGAAATCGTCCAACACCATTGGTTCCAAGACCAAGATGGAATTTTAGGTGATGCCAACCATTTCCTTTCGGATTCATGCCCAATGGTGAGAGCAATTGGCCTTGATGTGGGGCAGAATGGATTTGGTTTCATGTGGCTTCCAGGCTCAAAGCCCTTTCTTGTTCGTGACCCCTCTAAGTGCCACATCAATTGTGATGAGGAGAACAAGTTTTATGCATCAAGAGTCACTCAGAACGTTCCGTTCTTTCGAAACAATTTCACAGTGATACCCGGATTGCCTGCAGAACCCATCCCCGAAGGTGGTGATGCCGATGCTTTGTCTCCTCCAGATCTTGCTGCGGAGCCGGTTGTAGTTCCTGAAAGTTCGTCAGTAGAGCCAGCCGTTGAGCCCAGTTCAGATCCTGGAATGCCAAGCGAACCCGCATCCGTGGAACATGAGATTTTAGCTCCTCCTCCATTTGACCGCAAGTTGACTCACTTTCCAAAATTGTCCACATCTGATTTTTGTAACAGGGCCAGACTTTACAGCAAAAGGGTTGAAAGTAGGAGAGTAGTCAATGAAGAACTTGACCTTTCAGAGCCAGATGCTTTTGGGCAACAGTTGGTGTGTGACCATTTGATTGTCTTTAAGTCTTCGAAAGGAAAGGAGCATGCAGTTTTGATCGTTCAAGATCGTTTCTCAAAGGTTTTGCAAGCTTACCCGGCAATTTCAAGAGAAGCATCCCAACTCGCATCCAATCTCAAGCAATCTCAAGCATTTTGTGGACCTGAAATCAATTTCCTACATCATTGTTCGATCAGATGCTGCAGGAGAAATCCTGAAAGCTGTTATTGAAAACAGTTGGTTGCCAGAGAGTTCAGTGCCAGCACGTTTCCCTCACAATTCAGTTTTGGAGCGTGAAATCAGAACGTTTCCGGAGATTGCCAGATCGTTGTTTCTGCAAGCAGGTTTTGCCGCCAGACCCTAGCTCTGGCCTCAAGCCTGCTCCTACGTTGCAACAGCCATGTCCGCATTCTTGAAAGACGGTGAAGGGAAAACTCGATGGGAAATTGCGTTTGCAAAGGAGTTTCTCGGACCTCACTGCTTGCTTGGTCAGTTGGGTTATGTCAGAACAAAAGATGCAGGAAAGTTCAAATTCAATGCAAATGCAGAACCAGCTATCTTTGTTGGATGGCGATTGGATTTTGGAATGAGGTACCGCGGTGTTTTGCAATTTGTTTTGTATCCTCTCATCCTGCATCTCAATTTCATGACGCGGAAGTTTACATGCCTGGTGAAGTGACTTTTCCATTGGCCAGTGCAGCTGAAACTGCCTTGAAGGAACTTGATGATCCTCGACTCACTGAACTTCACGACATTGATGCAGTGCCTGTTCCGCTTGTGGATTCTGAAATCAAACGCCACTCGTAGAGTACAGTTTATGTGACTTATGCCCGAATGCTCAAGATCGGCGCCACAAAAGGGTGCAAAGGTTGTGAGAATGACACGTCGTCTCACAATCCAGAATGCATTGCGCGCTTTGAGGAAGTCTTTGGTCGTAAAGATGTGGATGGTTCCTTTGTTGAACCCGAGGTTCCTGTGTCTTCAGAAGTTCCCGTTATAGAGCCAATGCATGTCCGTGGTGAATTTTCTGGTGGTGGTTTTGCAGAAGACTTAGTGCCTGAATGCCCACCTCCATCAGACCTTGATGAGCCATATGAGGCTGAGTCTCCAATCAAGACTTTTTTTGATGTTTCTTTTCGCGACACCGATGATGATGAAGCTGATCATCATCCTGCCACCGGCTTGGGTGCTGTAGCTAGGATCGCTTGCGATGCCGCAGTAGGGGCAAGCATAAGCTGGTAGGTAAAGATGTTCTTTTTGAGTTTGCGTGTGACATAGATTCGAACCTTGGAAAAGTTGGATCCGAACATGGAATCAAAGTTGTCAGGTTGTGCAAGGAAGATATCGACTTAGAATGCCCTCAAAGCATCGAGCAGCTGATTGCTCAGGTCAGCGCGCTTCCTGGATGTTCTATTCATTGCTCAATCGAGTGCAAACCATGGTCTCGATGGCAAAGTTTGAATCAGTCTAAGTACCCTCATTTGTCAGCTCGCATTCAGAAGGAGAGGGAGGATAGTGAACCGGTGTTGAAGCAATTCATCAGACTTGCCAACGTTTGCTTGGACAATGGTGGTGGTTGCAGCTATGAATGGCCCAGATTCTGTTCAGGATGGGCTCTGCCGTGTCTTCTAGAGTGGTTCATTGAGAGGAACTTGCACTCTGCGACTTTTGATGGTTGCTCCGTTGGAGTTGAAGCAGATGGAAAGCCGGCGAAGAAGCCTTGGCGTTTTTTTCATCTGGCAGGAACCTTTGCAAGGTAAGTGGGCTAGGATGCCAGCCTTTTTCCCACGAAAGCTTCGTAATATTATGGTTCAACCATGCTCAATCTTGATTTCCTCATGTCGCCAACCAGCATGTGTGTTCAATGCCATGTGTTGCGAGGTGTCAGTAACCTCACCGGCAGAAGCTTGTTGCGGGGTATCCTTCAGTTCCCCTTGACATAGCAATGTCAATAGGTTGCAAGGAAGTTGTCACGCCTGCTTATGTCCATCGACTCTTGGATCGAAGTGAGTGGAAGGATCGACCTGAGGTTTTGGACGCCACCAACCCGGAGAAGCAAGGACTTCTTGCCACTGGGACATGGGATGAATCAAAGATCTGTTCCAAAGCAGAGGTCTTGGCAGAAGCACGAGCGAAAGGTCAGAAAATTCATGTTGGTGCTTGAATGGTTATAGTATGTTATAGTTAGCATCAAAGGGTATGAGAAATCTCCTGCAGAATGGGTCGTCAAAGCCCGCATAGTTTTGAGAGGCGATGCTGTCCGTGACGAGGCTGCCTTTGATGAGCTAGCGGCTTCTGCACCCACGAGCCTTGGTGGACCCAACTTGATCATTGCAATTGGACTTGCCGAAGGAAATGCATGTCCGACCTCAGATTGCATAAAAGCATACGCCCAAAGCTACCTCGATTCATCATGCCCGACATATGCTCTGCTCCCTGCAGAGCTGGTGCCACCTCATGCCAGACACATTCACCAACCAGTAGCTCCACTCATCCGATCGTTGTATGGCCATCCGTTGGCATCTGCATCATGGCAAAATCACCTTGCTAACATTTTTTCAAAAGAATTTGGTGGCATTGAACTGCCAGAACAGCCCACTTGTTTTCATTTTCCATCCATGAGTCTTGCCCTCAGCGTTACGCTGGTGACTTGACATTGAGTGGTCAGCAGAAGAATCATGCCAAGATTTGGTCCACTTTGCAGACGCATCTCAAACTTGAGGATCTTGCCGATCTCTCAAAGGTGCTTGGTAGGAATCATGTCGCCTGTGATTTTGCAAAGCAATGTGTCGAACTCTATGAGCAGTTGTCCGGCAAGAAGGTCAAGCACTTTCGTACTCCTCACTGCGACAGTGGTACCTTGGTCGAGACAGACGATGAGTGCGTTGGACAGCTTTCAGCCTCTTCTGCAAAGCTTGTGATGAAGCTTACGTGGCTTGGTCGAATCAGTCGCCCTGACATCATGGTTGCTATTAACACACTTGCTCGAAATATCACTCGATGGAGTGCCAATGATGACACGCGTGCTGCTCGTTTAGTTGGCTACATCGCTCATGTCATGCGAATCAATGACCCTCCAGCTAAGCTGTGGTTGTCGCTCTATGCTGACAGTGACTTTGGATCGTCACCTGACATGAAGTCGACTAGTGGGTTTGTCATTGCTCTTGAGGGCCCGGATTCTTTTGCTGTCATTCTTTGGGGATCAAAAACCCAGACAGCGGCTTCAAGATCGACGACAGAAGCTGAGTTTGTGGCTTTGAGCATTTCACTGTTTGGGGGGGCTATTTCACTTCTGGCTGTGTGTCAGCGTGTGATTGACGCCAACTTTGTTCTCAAATGGTTTGAAGACAACCAGGCGGTGTTGGCAATTATTGCCAAGGGCTGCAGCCCAAAGTTGAAGCATTTGGTCAAGTTTCATCGCATCAATGTTGCGAGCACTTGCGAGGCCTTTTCTGCTGAGGACATCCTCACGAGTCATCAAAAGGCTGACGTCATGAACATGTGGTCAGGTGCTTTGGAATTACTTTGCATCAAGCCCATGGTAGTCACTTAGGCTGGCCTTTGCTTGCAAGAATCCTCTTTTCACAGCATTCAAATTGCCGTTCATGAAATTAATGGATTTCCAGAAATCTATTTGTCTTACTTGAGTACCCAATCACCAACTACTGTAATTGAATTCCAGTATGTTGCATGCCACTGAGCGAACAGATATGTGGATGTAACTAGGTTCCATCTGCATGTTCGATCCTTGGATTTTGCTTTAACATCCTCTATTGGTTTTCAATACCAGCTGCCGAAGATTAATTCAGCATGTTGCAACCGCAAAGCGTACAGCCGTGTGGATGTAACTAAGTTGGTCTACACTTTCATTTCTTGGACTTGCTTTGTCATTTCCTATCTGTCATTGGGATGTTCTTTGGATTTTCCTTTTCCTTGCCTAAAGGTGGTTGGCTGCTCCGGCGCCTCGCCTACTGCCGATTGGATTTCATGCATCCGTAATTAAATGGATTCCATGCATCCGTAATTAAGCATCCCTTAGGCGCACGGATAGAAATTCCTGGGCATGATGGATTCAGCAAAGAGAATCTTTCCATCCTCTGCCTGGAATATATCCGCTGAGCAGTGGGACATAGTAGGAATGCATCTGTCCGTAGGCTTGATCACCCTCCGGTAGTTTGTAGTCCTTCGTTTGACCCTGTACAGCTCATGATAAGGGGGGACTTGAAAGAAATTGATGTTTACCATACCCATTCTTTCATATGTTTAATTGTATCCTTCCCTTCGGGTCAACACATCTCATTTGTATCTTACTTTGGCTCAAGATGGTAAAACAAGGCCGCTGCCATTGCCCTCCCGGTGGGTCGCGGTTAACTTGTTTGTTTTGTGGCTTTGGGGTAACCATTCACAGATATTCACAGTTAAATTAAGAAGCATTGGAGCGGCTAGACCCAAAATCAAACAACGCGAGCCTGTCAGGTCCAGGCACTGATGGAGGCTTGACGACTGACCACAAGCCTGATCATCCAGTCAGACACCAAATTTTGAGCAGATCCGGTGTCAAAGTGAGCTCCAGGAAAAAAAACTATTTAAAAAATGAGGACAGAGGACAGTTGCTGATCTTGGCATCATGTCAAGAATATCTCAAGAATCAAATGCACATTATATCATAATATCACATCATAATATGGTTTTTCTTTACCAGTCTTATAGGTAGGAACAGCTGCCGTGGTGGCACTTATCGCCAGTGAATGCAAGGTAGAAGTGGAGCGGATCCAGCGGACAGGTGGTACTGTCACATTCTCAGTCCTAAGTCCAGTTTTATTTGCACATGATAGGGCAAGGATCGATACCGGAACAATTACCATTAAAAAACTCAGAGGGTATTCTCCCCGAACATGGGTTTGAGTTTGAGTATCGGGTTTGCAGCAACTACCAAACCTCAGGTGCAGACCATCATGGGAGTTCCGCGAGTCAATGGTGACCTTGCAGTAAGTCGTGCTTTTGGAGATGCACAGCACAAAAAGACGGGCGGTCCCAAGCAGGACGGGTCAGATTTTCGCAGGGTGTAGCAAGTGGTCCATGGTTTGTGGGTGTTGTTGTTTTCTTCCTAGAGTTTGATGGAAGGAAGATCATCCTGTTTCTGCTGGAAGCTGAGGAAAAGAAACACATTAAACAAATTTGATATGCCATGGTATGACAATTTATACTTAAAATGACTTAAACATACTTAAACATCCTTTGCTTAGTTGGTGACATCATGCCATCTTGCTTAGGTGGAGCCAGAATTTACTACATTGAGCTGTGATCGCACTGACTTTCTGATACTTGTGTGCGCCAGGGCCTTAGTTTTTCAGTTTCACAGCCTCACAGAAGCCTGCATAAACTTGCAGACAGGATGTGGGTTCGCTGAGTATCAAAAGTTTGTCTCGTCATTCTGACTGCACTCGTAGTCACTACATGTCACTACAGGATGGCATATCCGAAGGCAACTTTCCCAACCGAGAAGTTGCCAGCAGCTGAATGAACACAGCATGAGGGCTTTGATTTGAACTCCTTCTCCGGCGCTCCTTTGCAATGATTTTGCATTTTTTTGCGTCGTCCTGACCTTGGAGTTCCAATTTGGAATTCTCAGGTACAACTAGCAGCCGAAGAGCTGAAGTCCAAAGAACCAGCTCAGGCTCAGAATGATTCAGAATGGCTAGAATTGAAATTGAAGCGCTAGGTTTTTTGCCGGTTCTGAGGGCTTGAGCTTCCCTGCTAATGGTTTGTGACCTTTTGTGACAGCTGTTGTCGTGGGCGCACTCAAAGCCTGCCATCCTGTCTTTGTAAAATGTCCGACCCCTCGAGATCTTCACTGCATGAGGATTTGATGGAACTTTAACGTAGTAACAAACAACCAACAAAAGATAACAGGAGAAGATTTACCTTGAGCAAGACAGCCACGATATTTGCATATACTGTATAGTATAATATATATATATATACATATATATATATATGGAGATATATATATACAGTATGTGTGTGTATGCTGATGCCATCGTGCTGGGCCACACCTAGTTGTACTGCATGTTGCCAGCCAATCCCGTGGCGCGACGCGGTGTTGCTCAGCGGGTGATGCTAGAAGAAGCTGAGCTAAAGTGCAATAATCACTCTGATTACCTGTGTGCCTTGTTTACAGCGCAGATCTGTACTGCAGGCAGCTGCGTCGGTATGCCGTAGAGCACTGGATCGTGGATCCATGGATGCTTGGCTGTATCAAACTTGTCTAGTTTGGTTGGCTGACATAGTTCTTGCTAACTGGCCATGTTTGAAAGATTCTCCGTAGCTGTTGCCAGGACAATCTCTCCTGTATGATAGTATGCTTTGACGGGAAAACCGAGAAGACGGGGCGCATCAAGGACGCGCATGCTGCTGTGTTTGCCAGCGTTCTGTACCGCTTCACTTATCATTATTGCCTGCTATCATTCGTCTTATTTCAGTCAAACTCGTATGATGTTCCCTGGGCTTGTAACCACCAGCACAGACTCTGGAACGGAGAGTGGGTTGGTATCGCGACCCATCGCGACTGACATTTTTCTGGGGGACTGAGGGGGATGGGGCCAGGTTCTGGCGTGGTTAGTGGCTCCAGGAACATTTGTCCAAAAGGTTCCGGAATGTTTCCGGGAACATTTTTAAAAGGCTCTGCGATGGTTCCCAGAACCTGCTGGGCAAAAGGTTGAAATCTTGAATCCTGTAAAAAATGAGGAGAAAAAACATTCCCAGTTCTTACACCACCTGTCCTGATGGATGGTGAATGCAATGTCTAATAAGACCAGTTCTCACAAGTTTTTTCTGATGGTAAAATGGTTTGCCTGTGTCCTCCTTGATGATGGCAAGTGCTATGTGCCAGTTGTCACCGGGCCTGTCGGTTATGACAAATTCTACTGTATTCTCCAGTTGTTAGGAGAGGAACCCAAGAGCAGGAAAAATGTACAAAAGACACGTGAGAACTGCGTCTTGTTCAGGTTTGGTGTTGGACGTCTCTTTGAGATTCTTTTTGTGCAGCTTGGGTTGGTTTGTGATAAAGACGTTGAATGCTTGAAACGGAGAAAATCCAAGGAGCGCAAAACCGTGTTCTGCTCCAAGCCGTTCGGGTGCAAAGCTCGATTAATCAACATATTATTGCAGAGCCCAACTAGCCCAACTTAGTTCCACGTTCCAGGACTTGGTTCCTGGCCCTTTCACGGAGCCAGCCCATGGTGGCTTCAGAAAGGCCAGGCACCAAGGGTTGAGAGTCGTCCAGAGTGACTTGAGAGAATTTGTACTAACATAATATGTTCTTGGAATTTCTGAAACATTTTCCGTGATAATTTTTGAACATGTTTGAGACGAAGTTGTGAGCGTGGCAGCCGAATTCAACTTTTGACTCTGTCGATTGTGATTCATGGTGCTTCAAGTCCAAGGCATACGCGGCGATGGCAGAACGTGCAGGCGTATCCCTGGAAGCCGCAGCGGAATCCTTAGCCTCTGAACATCTAAGATATTTGAGACATACCTGGTGATACCTGGTGCGGTGTTTAGATCAAAGTTGATGGTGAATGATGAAGGAGTGCAGTAGAGAAACATAGCACGGAGAAGGGAAATCAACTAGAGTATATAATTAATTAAAGCAGAACATGATAGAGAAGAGCACAAGAGAACGATATAGTAGAGGAGAGTAGCGTAGAGTCTAGAGGAGAAGGGTAGTGGTTTCTGCTGCATGATGGTTGGTGATGATGGTGATGGTTGCAGTGGCACGCCTGTGCTCTTGTGCAATGTTGTAGCTCCTGCTAAGTTTGTGCCGTGGAACTGCTAAGTCAAGGAGATTGTGGGTCGTTGTAGGTGGTTGCGTGTGTGTGTGTGTGTTTGTGGTTTTAGCTATGTTGCAATTCTAGAAACATCGAAACCCGTGAGCAGTGGACCTGCTACGTCAATATGACTTGGGGTTGCCTCTGTGGGCTCGTGCTTTTGTGTTTTGGAACTCCCTTAATGGCGCTGTACAGCGAAAGGGTTGCGCAAAAGCTACAGCAACAAGTTTTTGTTGTCTTTGACTACATTTCTGTTCCATTTTTGAGTGGGGACAGCTGTTCAACGATCTGTTTCTAGTCCCGGGTGTGGACAGTCGGCTTTGGGGTTTCAAATTTGTTGCCACTACTCACAATCGCATCAATCATTGTAAGCGGCATCAAAATGCCCGGTGAGAAAGTGTGGAATGGAATGTCATGTCAAGTAAGTCCAGAGAAGAGTAACCTGCTAGCTCAGAAGCAGCATAGAGAAGAGTACAGAAGAGAAGGCCAGAGAAGAGAAGAATGAGAACACGTCAAAAAACCGAAGAGTGGAGAAGAGCCGAGAAGGTACTGATGAGAACAGTAGAGAAGAGCAGGGATGAGTAGAGCAGGGAAGAGCGGAGAGGAGTGGACAGCGGAGAAGGGTAGTGTAGGGCAATGAAGAGCAGAACAGCTGCCCACCGTAGGGAGAGTTGAGAAGGAGCTTTAGAAAGGCACATTGGCTGAGGACGCTGAGGGAAAGGTGACCTGGCTCAAGAGAAGAGCTCAAGAGAACGTTTGAGAGAATAGCGAGCTCATGCGAGCTCAAGAGAGGAGGTCGGTCAAGAAACCGGCCTTGTGCTACGACTACTTGTGCAGGATGGACCGGGTTTTGCTTTTATTTTTCCCAGTTTTCTTTGCCGCAGCTGGTTCTGCAACCACAGGTGGCATAATAGTGACTGATAGAATCTGATAGATATGGATTCCATGGGAGATTGCGGATCGCCGCTGAATATTACTTGTTAGGTGGAACGGAGATATGACGCTGCCCGAAAGCTGGATGAAGAAGCTTCCCGTGCGCATTCCGCCAAGGACATCCTGCGAAAGATGCGTTACCAATATTTGACACTTTGATACATTATGATACATTCATGAAGCAATTTTCTCCAAAGCTAGCCAGGGCCTGGGTATTTTTTTTGCATTGGTTTCTGGTTCCATCTATGGCAGACAGACTGCGCACCTGAGTGACGACCAAACATGTTTCTTGCTTGCATGACTGTGCTCAGATCATGTGAGCCTGTGAATGTTCAACATACAACACTGTTTCAACATTGTATGTCTTGTGTGATCTTGTGTGTACTGATTACTGACTCATTCATATGTGATTTTTTTTAATGAATTCCCTTGTTTGTTTCAGACCTGGTTGAAAGCGTGACATAAGAAGAGGAACACAACGTGAAGCCATGAAGCTGTGCAGATCTGCGCGTAGGAAAACGGTGACGCCAAAAGCAAGGAAGAAAATGGCCAGGCCATCCGACAGAGTGTCACAAAATGTCACAAATCACTATGGTCATCTATATGTCATTATACATATCTATACATTATATACATTATAATTTAATATAATATAATATTATATTATATCATATCTATTATGATGCTCGTACTATCTTATATACATTTTTGTGATGTGTTTTGAGTAAATCTTGATCAGATTTGATAAGTCTACAGATGTTTGGTCCATAACATTCTGTGACTGATGCATATCCTGCATTCATTGCATTCATTGGTGTTTCTTTTTGAGTCTTTGGCAAAGATGCTTTGGCCAATGCGGAGCATGGAGCAGGGCGAGGAGGCCTGAACCCATTCGTTGCGCCTGGTTGGAGACGGCCCACCTTTTGAGTTTTCAAGTCTTCGTCTTTGCGTCTGCATATGTTTGCATGTTACAGCTATTATGATTGTTATGTCAACTGTGTGTAGACAGGCATTATCAATCATTATCATTCATTATTCTATATAATTAAGGTTTATGATGGGTGTGTGTCTTCCTTGGCAGGGCACTGACGTGGCCCTAAAAGAGCTACGGAGCGAGCTGCAGAACTTTGGGAGTGGGCCTCCTGCAAAGCTCACTGAAGGCAAGTCGACGGCACAATTTTGCACGACTTTGTGGCGAGATTTGACTTATCTTCGATTATTTTGATGCGCCGACTTGCTCTTGCTTTACCCCAAACTCTTGTCCTTGTTTTCAATCGGTTCAGGAGTCAGGGGACTTGTCCAAAAACACGGTGCTGCCTTCTCATCCAAAGTAGTTTACAACACTTTTCGACCTGGCAGGCAGCAACGAAAGAACCGCGTGGTTCAAAGAGCCCCATCCCTTGCTATAACATGCTATAACACAGTTTTCCACATGCAGATGATGCTACGATAAGAGAGATTGTGGCATTCCCACACTAGAACTTGGTGTGAGCTCGTCCTTGCGTCCTTGTGGCTGATATATATATATATATATTAATATATTTATACATATATATGCCGTGATTTTGATTTTTCCGAGGTGGCTTGACGGTTCCAGACTCAGCAGTGTAGATGAAGTTTGACTCTTGAGTCATTATAAATCACGACGAATCACAACGAATCAATGCTGAGCAAGTTTGATCCCCTGCTGTACCCCTGCTGGGTTTCACCACTTTGGCAAAAGTGTGTCCATACTGTTCGCGAGTTAAATCTAATCTGGTGTGCCGCATGCTAAGGAACAGAGTTGGAAGGAGGCAAAGACCCAAGCACGATGACGTTGGAAGCTGATGACCTCGGAGAGTCTGTGCATTCTCCTTGAGAATCCAAGATCAAGGCAAGAAATCAACATAACGGACATGACGGACATGACGGACATGACGTTGCCTGAAACTTGAGGCGAGAGGAGCTGCTGAGTTGGGCCGAAGAAGATCCCCAGGTTTTGGCAATGGCAAAGGCGCAGGCGTGGCCTTCGCTGTACGCTGCTATTTCTTTTTGCCATCTATATTGCATGATATATATTGCATTGTTTTTTTGTGCTTTTTGGCAGGGACAGAGTCCATGTTGTCAGGGATGGCTTAGCCAGCGAGCCATGCGCCGAGTCCGCATCGTCGATGCAGAGAAATTGCGGCCCGCAATAGAGGCTGGATCTACTGAAGGTTTTGCTCGTACAAGTTATAATAAGTTATGCGCGGTGGTCAAAGGGCAAGCCATTTAGAAACGTTTGCATGCAGGCAGGTAGCCAGTCTCACTCTTTCCACTCTCCATTGGCTTCCATTTGATGGCATTCACTTGCACTGTAGCATGGACAGGCTTTAGAAGTGGCTGAATGCACCCAGGAACAAGCTTCATGTCAGATGGCCACATCCAGATGTACCGGTAATTAAATGATGAAAGCTTCATTGAGACATCCATAGTAGAAGTTCACAGGGATAAGTTCCAAGCAAAAGAAGACAAGATGATGCAATAATATAATAATTTGTTCGCATGTGTAGGATGTAAGCCCAGTAGTTTTTGTTTCAGAGACCTGCAACTCAGGAACTATGTATCTCTATTTATATACCTAATTTTAATATATTTTAATTATTTAAACCTCTAGTTGCCTCTATTTATCTCTACTTTTCGAAGCTTCTTCGGCTCCTGAAGGCGCACGAAGTGATCCAATGGGATGATCGCCTCTTATCGGTGTGCGGCCAGGTTGGGAAGGCCAGGCACAGCTTCAAACACGATCCAGGAATCCAGGGATGATGGATCATGGAGAATCATGGAGAATCCAATTTGCCAACATCCAGATATAATATGATTAACATGACGATACAGATACATCATAACAATTCATAACACATGATAATACATGATACAACTTTATGCAAGCACATGCAAACACATACAGGGTCAACTAGGCATGGGTGCATTCTGGTGGTGCATTCTAGTTCAACACTTTCTTGAATCTTATTCGACGCCGGTTCTTTTGCAGACTGGAGGTCGGTTTCTGTCAATGACATCGATGAGGTAATTATATCAATATGTAATAATGATGTACTTGGGCTCTTTCAGTGTCAATGCGTTTGTTAGGTTCTTCAGGATGATGAGTCCGATGGCACTTCGCAGGCTTATGGGTTGATGCTGCTTGTTTGCTTGCATATTACATTGTTGCACCATCTTGCACTATTGTTCGATGATCGATGCATGGATGCTAACTTCTGTGGCACGCTGTGGCAAAGAATCCATGAATCTAAGCTACTTGTTTCTGTTTATAGAGCAATATATAGCATTTTATAGATGATTGCAGATGTTACAGATTAAATATATAGGCTATAGGTCTATATGGCCCTCAGCCTTAGCTGAACCTTCGGGATGGCGATGGAGAGAGATATGGCTTGTGATTGAAGGCACCTTGAGCAAAGTGGCTGTATCATCGCTGTCACAGCGTCCCAGGTGAAGTTTCGAGGGAAAGTGTCTGCAAGTGTTTGGTTGCCACTCGATTGCCTGATCGATGAAGGCCATGCTGCCGTATGTTACCTTCATTTGCATCCTCTATTCTGAGAGCCGATGCTCACCACACGCCCGTGTTGCGTGAGTAAACTTGGCAAACTTCAGCTATGAATGAGCCAAGAGCTTTCTGTTCGTCATGTATCGTACAGTTTACAGTGTATCATATCAGGATCCTAATGTTGCTTCTCCGCCTACTTCACTTTTTCAGCAAGGGTCCCTTCGGGTCACTTCAACCAAACACCTCGTTTGAGTGATTCCAGCAGCTTGTCACACTCTGATACATCTGAGCATAACATATGTATGCTTCGCAATTTCGCCAAAAGATGTCAGGAGACTCAATGCTTCTGCAATTCCGTATTCTACCATATTCTACCATATGTCAGCTTCACTTCTTCCACTTGCTGTAGCCTTTGCCCATACACCTGTGCAACTTGGTCACCTCTCCGGTCATGTGCCGCAGAAGACGATCCGCCAAGAAAGGTTCAAGCTTTGAGCTGAGAAAGACTGGCCACGGCGGCCACGATCAGAAGGGTATGTGGTACTTGCTCAATCTTGCCCACATAGTTCCCTGCAAGAACCACCGACTAATTCAGCAAGACAAAGACCAAGAGGTTCCGTACATTTCCGTACTATATCACACAAGAGTTGCGTTCAGTATTTCGAGTAGCATTGCGAAGTCACTCTTCATTCCTGATCATTGCCTTTGATTCGATTTGATGTAGAGAATTGCTGCTGCGCTTATTGCGCATCCAGTCCTGAAGCTCGTGCGTTTGGGTGAACTACCTGACACAAGAGAGTTTGACCATGTTTGACCAATTCCAATTCTCTTCTCCGTGTTTAAGTCAGTGTCGAAGTCAGTGTCTATGCCAGTGTCTAAGTCAGCGTCTAAGGTGGCCCCCCTGGAAGTTCTCAAAGCTGCAATCGAAGAGCATCCAATGCTGACATGGAAGGCCTGGCCTCAATCCATGCCTGACACCAATAACTACCATTCCATTCCAATCCATGGTGATGCTACGATATGCTACGATGCTCAAATTCAAACATATGCACAGTTGTTCACCTATGGTCACCTGGTACATCATGAGATGTTCATGACTTGCCCTATCTTGCCCGTCAGGATGGCATGGAGAACTTGGCTGACCAGGTTGCTATTGCCATAAAGGCCAGCTACTTGCAACTGTCATGGTTTGATTCCTGACAAGTGGTGCAAGATGCTCAACCATGGCTTTCATACAATATGGTATAAAGATCATGAAGATAAATTAGCTACGTATATCAAGCCATAAGATGCTTTAAGTTCAACCGTAGAACGCAGTAGAATGCTGAACTTGGAGGACGAGCAGGAGTTCCAACTCACGGAAGTCAGGTTCCCGCCGCCACTTAGTCAGAAGCTCAGATCCGGACAAATGCAAGGACTGCAAGGAAGAACAGAGAACAATCATATACAATTATGAACAGCTCAGAGATTCAGAATATTCAGATTCCCATGATTTCCCAATGTTCTTGAGGCTTGAGAAGGTACCTTCCGAATTCTGTGCTGCAAGATTTAGAAGGCTGAGAGGGATGCATGGCAAATTGTTCAGAGTGCCAGGCAATGGTTAGGTTTGGCAAGCTAATGTACGCTGTGTTAAATTTGATTCTGGGATTGTTACGGGCATATGCGGCATGACAGTACGAGCAAGACATACAGTATAGTCGCATGGCCTTTGTGCAGGTCCAGTTGGTGATATACCGATCGAAGAGATCGATTCGACTGAATCAGCTTCTGATAGTGACGACGACATGATGATGGATCTGGAGGAGATTTTGGATAGTGATGGATATTGATGAATATTGGATGATATTAGTTTTTATTATTGGATTATATTAACTGATATTGGGAAGTTTTGGCACATAGAGTTGCCAGTGCCACACTGCACGATGCGCTTGCATCCGCGCTTGGAGGATGCCGGAGCCCTTCGTGACGCATACATCCCGTCAATGGAGAAAGTAAAAGCGGCTATTCAGGTCTGCAAGCGTCTGCAAGCGTCTGCAAGCGTCTGCAAGCGTCTGCAAGCGTCTGCAAGCGTCTGCAAGCGTCAACTCACTGTCAAGTTGCTTCTTTCTGAGTTGATTCAAGTTTATTCCTTTACCCAAGCAGAAAAACAATTGGCACGTGGCAGCACCAAGCTTGACCCTTTGGCTAATCAAAGATAGCAATGGGAAATCTCCTATGGATGAAGGTTTTAATGGGAGAATCACTATACACGGCTGATTTTCCATTGCCATGTTTGATTTCCGGAGGGTATATATCTTACATGCAGGTAGTTCATGATATTTGTGGCTTCTGTATCAGTCCACATCCTGGAGGCCTTCGAAAATTTTGAGTGGGAGGCATGTGCCTCAGCAAGTGATCTATCACTGCATCACTATAATGTACTTGTGACGTTCTGTTTGCACCAAATGTGTGATCATTTGAATTCATTTGATGCATATTGCCAGCAGGAGTCTTTAGAGTGGTGCTTGGAGCAGAAGGGAGAGGCATAAATCAGCGTCTCCAAGCAATTCACAAGAGAGGGCTGCCATACGTTGACAAACATCCCCTAGCTTTCTTTAGGCGGTTGCAGTTGCTGCGAGCTGCCAACAGATTGACAGCCGAAGGTCCTGATGGATTACCCGTCCGGATTATCTTGCCTCCGTGTTGCTGATGGACTTGTTTGGCTACCCACCTGCGCTTTGGAGGAGTCCTGCAAGCAACAACTGCAGTGACCGTGGATTCAGCATGACGCAGTTGTGTATTTCATGGCCACAAATGTCCACTGCACTACATACTGTAGCTAGCACGTCAGCCCGCAACCTATTCTGATCTATTCTGTGAAATAGAGTCCAACTTGCCCACAAGGAGATCAACGACTCTCCAGCTGTGGCCGAGGAGGCCCAAGCAGGGTCGAAAATGCTTCCAACATTGAACACCGTTGAACGGTGCAGCAATACAGCTACAGATCGGTCTGTTAGAGAAATGTTAGTCATTCAATGTCATTCAGGCTTTTGCTACACTGTCCCTCAGACAAGGCCGAAAAAGGTGAAAAAGAGGAAGCAGCTGTCGAAGGTGAAACAAATGACTCTGAAAACAGCTTCGCGCTTGGTCAGATGCGCCAAGTGTAAGTTTCTTCAACATGGTTCTTGAAAATGTTGAGCGTCCTGACAGCATTGACAACCGGAATTTGTGCACACCAAGGTTCCAAGAGACCAAGAACGTCGTGATTCTTCAACAGAATGCCTCCCACAATCTCCTACAATACTTAATACAAAAAAAAGACTTGGGAAGCCTTCACAGACCTGTCAGCCAACTAGCCATGAAGCCTTCACAGACCTGTCAGCCAACTAGCCATAGAGTAAAGTAAAAAGAGCCTCAAATTTGATTATTATGATATTATGATATATTATGTGTATCAATGCAGTCCACACAGACTAATGTGTATATATATATACACGCAAAACAAACACCTTTTTTGCTTTAGCCAACTCCTTGTAAGCCACAGCTTTGACTCTCGAATGTCATGCGCGTTGCAAGAACGCTGCAGACTGGGACAGCCGCTGAGCAGTGAGGGGTCATGCGGAAAAGTAAGAGCCACGGACCATCACAGACGGTTGCCTCTCCCATCCATGTTTTCCCAGAGCTTTGGAGAAAATAAATCAAGACTCTCTCTTCAGGTGAGGCAGGCCCATTGGCACCCATGTTTCAGCAGTTGGGGATTCTACCGACATGAGCACATGTAAACCAAGTCAATGTTGTGCCCTGAGGCTTCTTGTCCAGAAGTAAGACTCCCCGGAAGCTTGACAACTGAACACATTGAACACAGGAGAGCTTTATGTAATTTAAGGACTGCATTCAACCCAGGTGGGGCTTTTCCAGGTAAAGTGCGTACTCATGGCCCAAGAAAGTTGTCGTAACATCAGCGAACATGCAAGATACATCAAGATACAAGAAAGCCTCTAGAGTCGCAAAATGTCACAAAGGTAGGGCTCCCCGAGGATTAAGCAACCACATTTGATGTCGACTGTTCCTCGGATTGTCACGCATCAAGCAACTAAGAACCCCCCTGCCCTCTGTCTTAAAATGCCATCAATTGAATAATTAATCGTCATCAAGTGCCCATCGACCGACTGAGGGTGGTTGAAGTAATGGAAAACTGAAGTAGGTTGCTCAGTAGATCCCAGTAGCATCTCAGTATATAGCTAGTTTGTTTGGCATTGGCAGTGCAATGGTGGAAGCTGTGCCATGGCTGCAGCCAGGACACAACACATGTGCTTTTCAGAGCCCCTCGTTCATGCTCGACCTAGGTGAAGGTGGAACTTGAGTCCCAAGGAGAGGTAAAGGAGGTGAAGCAGATAGAGGTTGGAGTCGCATGGTGATGTTAGCTGAGGTGGTCCATGCGATCAAATGTCATCAATGCTTCTAAGCATCCAAATTGCTGTATTCACTGTAAGGAGTTGAACACTCAAACACCTGGAGATCCGCATAACAGATCATAATCATAATAATTCATAATATGATATTATTTGCATGAATTGGATTGGAAAGAGAAGGAGATTGATCACATGCCTATATCAGTAGTACCGCACAAGGCGGTGGCGGAAGTTTCAGAAATAGGAAACCTATAGGAGAGGTTGGTTGTTGTGAGACACGGATGGCAGAGCGAATCGACCGAAAGGTGGTTGGAGTTGTGTTTCTTGGAGTGGTTGCAATGGTTGCAGTGGTCACCTCACCACAACTGCTGGATGTAGCGTGGTGTAGTGCAGTTGTAGTTGTAGTTGTAGTGTAGCGTAGTGGAGTTGTAGTGTAGCGTAGTGGAGTTGTAGCTGTAGTGTAGTTAGTGTAGTGTAATGTAGTGTAGTTGTAATTGTAGTTGTGGCCGTGGTGGTGGTGGTGGTGGTGGTGATGGTGGTGGTGGTAGTAGTAGCAGTAGTAGTAGTAGAAGTAGTAGTCGTTGTTGTAGTTGTAGTTGCAGTTGTTGTTTCTGCAGTGTAATTAATGTAGTGTAGTGTAGCGTAGCGTAGTGCAATGTAGTGTAGTGCAATTAGCGCACTGTAGTCTAATTGGCGTAGTGCAATGTAGCGTGGTATATTTGCATTTGTAGTTGTAACAGTAGTGTAGTGGTAGTTGTAGTTGTCTATCTGTCTATCTGCAAGCTTGAAAACGAAGCAATTCTGCGAGACTTCCTCAATTTTCGAAGTTGACAATGACAACAGTAAAAACGAAGCAATTCTGCGAGACTTCCTTCAAACATGGAAAGTTGAGTGCAGAGCTGAAGGCCTCGTGCCAATGCATTTTGCGTTTTTTCCCTTCCATCTGTTTACAGTACTGCGCCTGCCACAAAAGTGAGGCCAGGTCATATGAAGTGCTGCACCTGCCGCGCAAAATCATCTTAGCAAACCTGAAGATCTGACTGATGCTCCAAAATGCACCCCCTCTCAGGAAATCAGCGCCCTGACCTCCTAACATCTCTGATGAACACATCTCTTGTACTGCGCCTGCCACGCGAAATGCATCTTTCCAGATCCTCTTCAAATGCCCCATGCCTGCCATCAATTTTGGAAATGCCATAAACCTTCACGTTTTGCTCACTTTTGGCAAGGTGCAGAATCCCTCGCGCCTGCCACACAAACCACATCCGAACCTTCAAAAGTGGTCCGAGCATGTGGTGTTTTCAACATTTTGACTTGGAAACGTGCTTCGCGCCACAACGGCGTGCACTTTTTTGACATCTCAACTTCCAAAAGTGTTCCGAGAATTGGTGTGCTTTGCACATTTTGGCTTGGAAATGTGCTTCGCGCCACAACGGCGTGCACTTTTTCGACATCCCAACTTCCAAAAGTGCTCCGAGAATGGTGTGCTTTGTACATTTTGACTTGGAAATGTGCTTCGCGCCACAACAGCGTTCTCAACTTCCAAAAGTGCTTCGAGAATTGGTGTGCTTTGTACATTTTGACTTGGAAACGCGCTTCGCGCCACAACGCCGTGCACTTTTCCAACATCTCAACTTCCAAAAGTGCTCCGAGAATGGTGTGCTTTGTACATTTTGACTTGGAAATGTGCTTCGCGCCACAACAGCGTTCTCAACTTCCAAAAGTGCTTCGAGAATTGGTGTGCTTTGTACATTTTGACTTGGAAACGCGCTTCGCGCCACAACGCCGTGCACTTTTCCAACATCTCAACTTCCAAAAGTGCTCTGCGAATGGTGCGTTTTGTACATTTTGAGGTCGAAATGTGCTTCGCGCCAGAACCGCGTGCAATTTTTCATCTCTCATCTGGCCAGATGGCTCCGCACCCGCCGCTTTAGCGAGCCTACTTTTCGACCCTCCGGAGCCACAAATCATTGGAAAAACGCGGTGAGTCGCGACTTTTCTATCTTTCCGCGCGCCTGCATCTTCTTTCTTCTGACTCTTTCTTCTAACTCTTTCTTCTGACTCTTTCTCTTCTCTGGTCTTCTCTCTTCTTCTCTTCTCTTCTCTTCTCTTCTCTTCCCTTCCCTTCCCTTCCCTTCCCTTCGCTTCGCTTCGCTTCGCTTCTCTTCTCTTCTCTTCTCTTCTCTTCTTTTCTCTTCTCTGACTCTTCCCACCTTTGCTTTTCCATCTGTCCATATTGTCGGAAGTTTGACTTCTAAACTTCCTTGGAGTATATATGTATATATAACAATTTTAAATAAATAAATAAATGCATACATAATTACACACATGATCCTGCACGGCTCTCAAGGAAAAGACTGCAGAGGAGGAGAAAGAAGCAAAGCGTGCAGAGATTGCAGCCAGAGTGGCTGCTGCTAAAGCAGAACGTGAGAAGGATGGGTCCTCAGCTGAACGTGTTCACAACGCGTGACGACTTGATACAACTTGTCTCAGCTCTCTGAGTCCTATTATATATGTCTTGATGTACTGACAGCATTTGACCGCATAAATCGTGTTTCCAGAGGTGGAGATAGTGAAAGTGTTCGAAGAAGCGAAAAAGAAAGAGATCGAAGAGAAAGGAGCGACTTCTCACTACGGAGAGCACCAGGGCATTACATGTGGCCTGTCTTCAGTACTGAAGTGTTGCGCTATGGTCGTGCTTTTCGTTTTTCCTTTTTTGTTCACGTGTGAAATCATACACCTGAATCTTGATAGTTTCACTTGCGGCAAGGACTAGTGCCGACAATTCCAACGGTTATCTGAGGTGATGCATGTGCGGTTGTTCCAATATTTGGCTACCGCTATGCTTGCAAATCCTGTGCGTCGCACGATGTGTGCGAGTCTTGCTATGACGCCTGGGCAGGTGGCACAGGCAAGCAAAGTCGCACAGCACACCGAGTGTGAACATGTTGGAACATGTCCCGACATTGTTCTCATCCAATCAACCTGCGGTAGCAGCCCACTTTGATGGACACCTCGGGCAGTTGGCAGGAATTATGCCAAACAAATTGGCGAAGCAGACGCTGAGCACACATCCCGCAGATCACTGTTTCAAATTGTACAAGGCGTTTTTGTCGCAAAGTCAGGTGTATGGGCAGTGAATGAATTTTGAAGAAAATTGAAATCACTGGTCAGCTGTTGCCACATAGTCATTACGTTTGGTATGATCCTTGTTTGGTCTTTTGAGTGCGCTGGCAGGATCAGACATTCAAGTCCGTTGTCAAGCCAGCAGGCGGTGCTTCAGTAAAGTCAGCCCCAAAACTCAAACCGAATGATAATTGCTCCTTGGCAGGCACTGTGCATATCTTTGCATGCCACGACTTGTCCCAAGTGTATCAAACTGTTGAACACTCGCAAGAGTGACCTCGGTGGCTATTGTGTTGATGCGTTTTGGTTTCATTTCAGGTGATTGCGGATCAGGAAAGAAGCAGCTTGACTTCAAGATTCACTACTAAAGCACAGAAGGACAATAGGACAATAGGTTCAATAGATGAGCAGCTTTGGTTTCTGATGTTTGGTGCATCTCTGTGCCCGGTTGCTCTTGCTGGATGATATTGCATAGGGTTCCCAGCTAAAAACGAAAGCCGGCATCTCCGCTATCTCCGCTGAAGGTACAAGAAGTGCTGTATGAACAACTTGGCAAGCTGAAAGCTGGTCTTTCCGCATGCACAAAAACACTTTTTGAAAGTGTATACTGCAGGGCCATGGCCTGCAGTAGATGTTTGCACAGGGTTGACCACGTCCCCTACAACGCATTAGGCTTGAGACTGCTACGTTCTGCATGGGGGTTAAAAAATCAAGGGTTCCCAGGCATTGATGCAGCTGTGGCACAACTTGTACGCTTTGGAACATGTGCTTTCATCCTGAAGCAAGAGGCTGGAAGCCCGCTGTGAGCATTTCTTCTTTCCTTTATTTTTGTCTTCAATGTTCTTTTTCTTTTCTGAGACTATGTAGCGATTACTAGCCTTCAAACCGGCTACTAGTACGTAGAAACATCTACAAAATTCTAGAACCCTTTTTATGGCTACAACCTCCAAAGTACAACAAGCGTGCCAAGTGCCATAAGGATCCTTAACCATGAGACCTCCATACCATTCCATACCAATTGATCCTCTATGGACTTCGTTTCTTCCAACTCCTTCATGACCGACTCATTTGAGACTGCCTTTCCCTGCCGTTGCCCTCAGATGGGTGTGTAAACAATGCTATCCTTGGATGATTGTTGATGTCTCATGCTTTGTATGCACATGTGCTTTTGCTGCTCCCTTCGGATACTTGCCGCTCTCCCCAGGCAACCACATCTAAGCATGCATATTACTGTTGGTTTATTTTCCCAAAACACTTGTTCCATTTCGGACCCATTTGGGATCAAGTCCAAGTGTGGGTGTGGTAGCTGAAAATGGGCCGACAAGATGCTGACACCTCAGAGCTTCTTGCGGCAGATTCTTGCTAGGTGCTTCTCCTTGCATCTAGTTGCCCATTTGCAGGACATTGCCAAGTTGCGTAACTTGCAAGGTTGAGCCCTGCCACCCTCCGTGAATGAGTTGGGCAGTTCAGTGAGGTGTCGGGACACCATCTTGAAATCATTCTGAAATCATCTTGAAATGAGCAATGGAATGTTGTGCAGTTGGGAGCGCGCCGAGCAGGCCATGGATGATTCCGAGTCCGAAGAAAGCAGCGATGAGAGAGATGCAGAAGGTGACGGCCTCGACAATGTGCCAGAAGGTGCAGAGGACTGCATTTCCCAGTCGTCCCAAGCAAGATGTCAACCTGGCTTCAGGCAAATGACTCAAAGATAAAAAGATACCAACAGGACATTGGAGATGCTGCAGATGCCGACGCAGCCGCAATCCCAGACTGGTTGTGATTGCACTTCAGGGAACCTTGAGGGCATTTGATATTTCTTACGCTGGGCCCGTCTGCATCGAGCATGCCAAGGTAGACCCCGAACAGGAAAGTTCCGTAATCAGTAATCCCCGCATCCCTCAAATGGATGGGAACAAGCCACGCCTCCGGTGTATATTTGTATCCTGTGAGTTTGCACACACACACAGAGCTTCAGAGCAACTGAGAAGTCCAGTGAGAGACAAGTGTATACAGGAACTCAGTGAGCTGTGAATCGAGTTACGCCACCTAGAATGCCGGGCCAGGGCCCAAAGCCTATAGACTATAGACAGAGAGAAAGTGAGAGGGAGCTAAACTGCTGAGATGAGCTGAACTGAATCCAAGCTAAATAATCAAAAAAAACTACTTGGAGAATGAGACAGACATCAAACGCGGGGCAAATTCTGGCGATTTCCTTCAGAAAAAGGAAAACAGAATGGCGGTTCCACCCCGCCCCTTTGGTGCTTCCGCAGCGTCATCCCGCCCTCATAGTCCCACGTGACATGACAGAGCTGCTCCCTCTCCCCACAGACAACAATAAAAAGGTAACCACACAGCTTGACACCCCAAGTCGATGGGTCAAACACACAGACACGCAGGGAATAAGCCAGTTTCACAAAGGCGCGGACACAAGCTTGGACACAAGCAGTAGGAGACAAGAGGGACAAGAAAACCCTTTGCCATGTCAACCCCTTGACTGTTCGTGGTAAGCACCTGTGCCAGTGACACAATGCATGTGGATCGAAACGCTGCACTAACCGCAGCATACCAATCCCCAGCACGAACAACGGTAAGTCCCTTTCCTTTAAAAAGTTCACTCCCTAAATTTTCACTAATCTTATAACATCCTCCGATACTGGATTTTCCTCTGCTCTCGGCTGGTTTGCACTCACTCTCTGGCAGCACTGTTAAACTGTTCAACGCTGGCATGCTGGATGCACTTATATAGTATCAACGGACAATGATCTGATACAATCTGAATTCAGGTGACCAACGATGCGAGCATCGAAAGCAGCGGTGAGTTTCATAGAACTGATTGTACATTGTATATTGAGAAAAAACATGACATGATTTTAACTTGCATATAACAAGAGACAATAATTGAGTGGACTATATTATATATTGAAGCAACCAGTTTGTTGAGGGGCAAGGTTGAATTCATGGTTGAACAGCGCCGAATCGCAAGTCACCTGTTAGCATTCTGCACGCTCGACGCTCGCTGTCAACAGGTGAACCATCCTTTCCAGGGATACTAAATTAAATGAATTTTAAATGGATCAAAATGGCGTAACATGGGCCTGTGATGGGCCAGCGCTTTCTCCTTCATAAATAAACATGAGTAGCCGAGTACAGTACAGCCGGCCCTTGACTGGAGACGGTTGCTAGGCACAACGATCTCCAGAAGATGCTGAGGCATCAGCATCTCCGGAGGACTCTCGTCAAGTAACACAAGCAACGTTGATTTGAGATGATTTGAGATGGTGATGGATGATGGTCAGTGATGGATGATTTGAGATGTTGATGTTGGCTGCTTCGTGGCGACATGGAGAAAAGCCGTGGGAAGTTTAGCGGTGCCAGGAGCTCCGGGCAATGGCATCAGCATATGCTGCAGAAGGAGCCCAGTTGCTGAGTCAAGCCCTCAGATACCTACAGCCTCGACATGCCTCGACCCATCCTGTGTAGCTCAATATGATTCAAGTGCGCTTAACCTGTCCCTGGTTACATGTGGTTACCAGTCCCAGTATGTCCCAGTCATCTTGAGTTGGCAGACATTCCACTATCTTGGAGATTCATGGGCAACGCGGCCAAGGAAAGGGAGAGCTTCAGGAAGCGCAAAACAGATTGCTTAGGGGTCAGGCGTCTCTTGCGCATCCTTGATGGCATTTGAAAACATTTCTTTGGCTGCATGGCACAGACTTGCAGTTCATGAAGTGAAATATGTGGAAGAATGATGAAGAATACCCAGAAGAAAGACAGAGTTGAGGTAACCCTGCAAAGCAAGAAGCAAAGGGCACCTTCATGCATCAGTCACATTTGTCCAATCAGACGTGCTTTGCTTTCCAGTCGCTTCCGCTTGCATAGATACACTGCGTTTGGGGCGTATGTTTTCTTCTGAAGGCAATGCTCGAGCGAGTGGAGATGAGAAGCCATTGGCCAAGATTTGAAGTGCTTTCACATGCCGGCTTAGGAAGCGATTCCAAGAATCTACATTGATATTCACAGACACATGGACGCGAACGCCCACAGACAGGCAGACACACATACAATACAATAATATATATATTACATATCGTTTATATTCGTTTATCACGTTTGGTTACATTTTCATACAGCAATGTTTCTTCAATGCATATGCAACCATATTTTGTACGTGTGCCGTCTACATGTGATCTATGCATATGTATACACGTACTTATATACATACATAATCACACATGTACACTCTATTATACATACACATCATATCTAAACATATTATTGGTGTCAAAGGGAACTAGGCGCTAGGTGCATGTGTCACATGCATGTATCACTGCATAACAAACGCCCATTGTGGCTCAAGCGCCCGTTGAAGGAAAAGACTCGTGCCGTCGCTGCCGCGCCATCACGGGACCCGGTTGACTAGCGAAGCAGGTATCGGAACTACAATTGGCAACACCTAGGACAAGGGTGAAATTGTTCACAGGTTATCAGCCGTAGGGCTCACTTCTCCCGTCGGGAGAGTGATACCTGCGTGCTGGTAGCCGGGCCGTCTGAGCAATTGATTGAGGACGCAAAGGACCAATCAGCTCATCATCGCAAAGATGCAAGGCGGCAGCGGAGATTCGCGCACCACGCAGTTTACCTTCAATGAGAACACTGCTATGCCGGTCGAGGAGGTCAATCAATCTTCCCCTGGCGACACGGCAGACAGTGGTGGAATACGCTCTACCCGAACTACACAGTCCGGATGGCAAGTTACATCAAACAGACGAAGAATATCCACCCAAAGTACACCAAGATCTTCTCGAAACAGTGCTCGAAGTGATGTTGTCCGCCAAGGGCATCCACCAGGGCCGTAACCGACCGAATTTGTGAGAGGACCGGGGATAGTCGTGTTAAGAGGAGATCAACGGATACTTCTGTGGCTAGTGAACCTATTGCCATGATAGAAGAACTACGGGCACAATGTCAATCCCTACGTAATCAGTTGAACCAAATGGAAGCATATGCTGCATCAAGAGATCAACTGATTCATGACATCGAGATCAGATTCACTGAGTATCTTCAGGAACACAACCAGAATGTATTTGATGAGGTCAATGCACTCAATCATAGATTGTCATGTTCCGCAAATGAGGTTGCAGAATATCAAGCAGAACTAATGGTAGCATCTCAGGAAGACGAAGGTGCAACAATACGCATCCAAGACCTTGAACGCCGAGGTGCCCTAATGGAACATGGAGCACGACGGATCCATCAACGTGGTATGGAGATCCAGGAAGAGTACAAGGATGAAGTACATCACCTTCAAGGACTATTGGGTAATACGGAGGCAAGACTGCAACAACTTCATCAAACCAATGTCTTAACCACCGATATTGCCAATCGACTATATTATACAATGAAGGTCAAGAAATGCAGACAGATTTCCAGAACGCAATCATGGAATATCGTAATCGATCCGAAATGGCATCCTTCTCTAGCAATCAACTTGAAATGATTAGCCAACAACAATCAATTGCAGTTCATGAATTATCTGAGCGGAATCAGCTATTGAGTGAAGC